ATCTTGCATCGTGGTCACCACCTGTCGCATGACCGAGCGTTCGTGGCTTGAACAACTTGAATGTAGCCACATCAGCGATTACTTAGAAATCGCTACACCACACAGCTTGCTAATATTTTAAGATTCTTTAAAAAGATATGCTCACTGTTTGGGGTTTGTATTTTCCAGAAGCTGAGTTGGGTTCCGTTAATGCTTGTTCTGCATGTGCAATAGTTATAGGAATGAAGGTATTGCTTGTGCCGACTCCAGCGCTAGGGAATATTTGTCACAGTATCATCGAGGAGGCATTCGAGGCGAAGACAGCGCAAGCTAAGTGCTGGAGACTGTTGTTGGAGGAGAAAGAGTTCTTGCTTGAACGCAAATTTAGAAGTGATTGACAAGTTAGAGTTGGCAGCGGCAAGCTGGTAGCTGCTGCAAACCAATAGTTCTTATAAACCGGACATACACACACGTATCCATGTCCCATCCTAAAACCTATTCTTCTCAAATCATGTTTTATCTGTAACTACAAATGAAAGTCTATAAATCCTAATCTTATCTTGGTCGGAAATTTCACACAGCGTCTCCATAATCAAAATTTCCGGATGGAAACTTGATTGTTGCAAATCCATGGGATTCTGAACCAATATAATCGTAGCCTGATGCAAAAGACACGCAATACTAAGTTTACGCCAACCAAAATAATCTAGCCAGCTGTACTCAATAATTAGCGTGGCTGGTCACTGACATTTCACTGACCAGAGACCACTACGTCACAATATTAATCTTTGACAATCTCCACTTTTGAGATTGTCGATACTGCAAAAATTGATTGTCGTGCTGTTGGATGTCCAATCAATAAATAAACATCATGTCCACATCTCTGACTCCGAACCCATTCGACAACAGCTTTACAGCGAATTTATCTCCGGTATCCTTTGTGGGGGCCGTTTTCGGATGGGACGTGTTTCGGCAACAATATAACTCAACGCAGTCATCTCGTTAAGCGCATTCAAAGATCGATTGTAACCGCTATCACAGTTTCTTCTGAATAGGATGATAGTTTCTTTGGTCATGACCCCAGTCGAATGGTGTTTTGATCATCGTTCTAAGGTTTACCCGCAAATCCTATAAGAGTTTGGATCTCGGTATCAGGGCTCCTCCAATTCAGTTTTACCTATACTGAATTGCCTGTCAAGTGCTGCAATAGTAATAACGGCAATATAAGAACAAACAACAATAAAAATGACGAAAATATTCAAACTTCAAATGTTTGGAGCTCTTACTCAGTGGGTAACGTCATCACATTCCACAAGTTCCTGTTTGCACGAAGAAACATTGGAAGCTCAAAAACCGTAAGCAGCATACAAGTACGCTTGGGTAAGCACCAGCTTACATTGCGGGGAAAAAATCAAGGCCTCGCACACAGTTGACAGAGCAAGGCGGCTTGTGACCCAACACTGTGCTAGACAATATTTTGTCTAGAATGCAGCATAGGGTATACAAGGTATGCGGACAAATGGGTTTGCTGGTTTTCAGCAGTTTGGTCGGTAGCTTGAAATTTGTATACTTTTGTAAATTGTAATGCAAAAATTGAAACACTGTTATATTGTATTCTTGTGAATAGCTCCAATAATCCGCTTTTTATTGCAAAAACTTATTTAGTGATACAGAAATTATTTATTCATCCCCCTGCTAGGTACACAAGAATTTGGACCTAGGTGCAAGGTCATGGGACACGGCAATCCTGGACCAACAAGCTACCGCTACATCTTCCTGGAACGAGTTGCATAGTGTGGGTACTTCCAGACGGAAGAAGGAAGCTGGGAATTAGCTTGATCATCATCAACTCGACATCAAACCAGCTAGGCAGAAACGGTACATAACTGTCCCAGATAAATGCCGTTAAGTGGGCCAAGGAAGGTCGGGCATCCATCACAATTACAGAGGCAGGTGAAAAGATGGTTGATGTCGTATGAGATCAATGGGTTTCGATACGATAGTAATTTCTTTGCAGATTATCTGGTGTATGGGCTCTTTTAATTTATTAAGCGGTGGGAGGAAAATTGTTTAACTAAGTAGTCTAGTTATGAACTGAAGTTGTTAAAAAGAACTGTTAATAATTCTTGTAGTCTATCCAGCTTAAACGGAACAACATGAAAAATCGCCATTAGTTTCACATCGATATGAGCCAACACCAGTGAAATCTATCCCCACATTCTTCACACCTATTAATAAGCACGAACAGTTAACTTTTTCCGTTCGCGTATGTTTGCAATAGCGTCACAGTCTAGCTGAATTCCCATAAACTCTTTGTATACCGGTAACGTGATGATCTTGCCTAGCGGATCTGGTCTCTTTCACAAAATGAAATACCTAAGGAAATTCATCAAAAACACTAAGCTTGATATCTACAGCACCAACACTGCAACCTTTCCCGTAGCTATGGTGCAGCTAGAATGCAACTTGCTTCCCTCACATCCAAATTCTTCTATCACAGTAACGTGTAAATGCATGAAAGTCATTCGTGTTTATATTATTAGGCAAATGGTAATTAGGAAGCCCAGTGCTGCCGAAAGTCGTACTCTCGGATATAGAGAAGCAACTCTATTTGGCCTTTGAAATGGCCGCCCGACCGGCACGCGCACCGCCGACAATTGCACCAGAGCTCTGTGTGGTAGGAGCCGACACGTTCTTCCCTGGAGCTGCGTTCTTTGAAGGGGTGGCGTTCTTCTCAGGAGCCGCTTTCTTCTCAGGAGCCGCATTTTTCTCAGGGATAGCATTCTTTACCTGCTTCCCCTTGTTCTTCGCCGCGTCTTCCTTCTTGATCGCCGCCGGTGCCGGTGGGGGAGTCTGAGACGTCTTCTCACCACCAACCGATTGGTGCTTCTTTACGCTCTGTACTTGGGGAGCAGTGTTCTTCTTCGCAGGCTGCTTGGCGGCCTCTTTTTGCGGCTTCACGCTCTTGTTGGCCGAACCAGCACGCGGACGGATGTTCTTCGCCTGAAGGGCGTGCTTGTCTTTGGTGCCATCCCACACAGACACGTCGCCAGCCTCTTTCAACAGAGTACGGATTTCGTCGTACAGGTGCTCACCACCAAGCTGCTGCATGGCTTCCTGGAACTTGTCCGACTGACACTGTCTCGTCATCTGACGGATCTGGTTCTCGTCAAGGTTACCGCAGTCGTCGGACTTCGCGGATCCACCAACCACGGGGTGTAGACCCTTATTCGACGAGGTGAGCACGATACGCCCACTTTTCTCGAGACTCAGGATCTCACGCAGCAGCTGGCATGAAGCGCGCTTCTCCGGTGCCAAGCCCAGGACCAACCGCAGCACGAAACTCACACCCACCGTGTTGGGCACAAGCTGTTTCGGCTTGCCACTCTTCGGTGTGTTTTGCTTCTTGCTCACATTAGCCTCTTTGTTCGCAGTCTTGTTCGCATTCGCGTTGGCATTCGAGCCCTTCATGTTGGCATTTACGTCCTTGGTTGCTGGCTGGGCTTTATTGGTACTTGCGTTCTTGCCAGCGTTGCTGTTCTTGGTAGTAGCCTTGCCTGCCGACTGCACTTCGCGCGTTGGAGTAGCAGCCACCGTAGCAGTGGCCTTGACAGCCTGTGTCGCCGCAGCGGTTGCCTTAGCACTTGCCGGTTTCACGGGTGCGTTCGTCGTGGTGGGGGTGTTCTTGCCACCTTTGGCGTTGGGTGTGGCATCTACGTTGTTGGTCTTCTGTCGTGAAGCTGCTTTCGTCATGTTCCAGGTGTTCGAGGCTGGGAGACGGGGCTTGGATTTTGCTGGTTTGGTGATGAATTGTGAAGTGAAGAGTTCAATCCGATGGCTGTAGAGGAGTCGGTCTGGGATAGCGCCGTAGACCCATTTGGGGGACATGGGACCGATCAGGCGGTTGCATGCGCAGGTGGAGCATGCAAATTGACTTTGGAGATCCAGGGTCCGTTGAATAAGGAACAAGTTGTAACCACCCAAGGGCACAATGGCTGGCACTATAGCGTATTGAGGTGATCACCACAATTTCTACAAGAATAGTCTGTTGAACACTCCCATCATGAATTCAGAAGGCCGTTTTGTGTTATTATAAGCGCAGACAGGAGTTCAGCTATGATTATTAATACTGCCTGCGCATATAATACCACAACGAGGTCGCAAATGGTTAACCATACCGGTTCGGTTAAAGTTTGGCCGTAACCACGGATGGTATGGTTACCCGAGAGTTTGCCGCTGTGGTATTCGGACGGGTACGGGTAGCCGACTCCCCTGGGTCGGTTTGTTTTGGTTGACCGAATCTACCGGAGGATATGCGTTTGAAGATTTTGTTTTACCGTCACTTTTCCTTTACAAATGTTGTGTTCGCGACTAGTATTCCTCACTCTACTTTTGCTGCCAGCATCTTATTTATTGTGAGAATATTGAAAAATAAACCATTTTACATGCTTTTATTCAAAATGCGAAGTTTTTCGGGTAACTGATCGCTGATTCGGTCATTTATGGTTGTCCGAATGGCCCATACAATGGTCATGGCCACCCAAGACTTGAGCATAAAAACTTTCGGACGGGTTATTGTAACCCGAAAATTTGCCTTTGCGATCTCTGAATGGTGAGAACTCCTGGAGTTCTGACCATCTCGTTCTGTGTAGCTATTTTGGATGTTGAAAATGTCCGATCGCAGAATCTATCAGGATCATCACATTCGAATTGTCAAGTGAGAATTGGTACGGCAATAAGTTTTCGATCACGATGGGAACACTGAGGCAAGGGAGGCTGCAACCATCCAAGTAGCTCCCAGGGACAGTGAACGTGCAATCACATGTATAAATTAGTGTCATATGAAACAACTTCAGCAAACCGGAACAACGAACCTCTGCAGGGTCCAAATTGAAGTAACTCTAGATAGAGTCAATGGCCTACCAGAGACTCTTTCCAAGCAGCATGTAGGACATTTTTAGAATTTTAAATTTCCTAAATTTGTTTTGATGCTACTAAGGTCCAATGGAGAGGAGAAGTGAAATTTTTGCATTTATAAGTTTTTTTTTTTAAATAAGAATATGATGTACTATTATACACATCGCTTCTTCCGACAACTTTGTCCGCCAGTCACAAATTTTACAAACACGATTGTGTTCGTTTAAGCTAAAACTGGTGAGCCATGGACTCAGGCGACAAATGCGAATTAAAGTCCCTTGGGGGTGGGGGGTGGGGGGGGGGGCAACTGTAATAACATTGGTTAGGTTGTTCAGCCAGCTAAAGCTGTCCTCCCAGTATTATTATCCGCTCTGTTCTCAGATTAAGTTTGATCCTGTTCGCAATGAACACCTTCAACAACATTCTTTCCGACAGCACCTCGGTAAATAATGATTGTCTTCGTGTAGTCCTTTCTCATGCCTCCTCTCAAGAAGAACAGACTTTTAGTTTAAATGTACGCGAAATAAAGCAACGTTAAAATATCCAGAATCAAAACTGTTGTTTTTTTTGCAGTTTTCCTGGTGGCTTTCGGCGCTACACACACTCGCATCTCATTCAAAGATGAAAGGGGTCTCCAGTCTTAATAGTGGGAGTAGAATCTTGCTACTGGCGGTCTTTAACGGCGGATGTGGAAATCATTATAGTTAGCAGCATATCAAAGCCAACGCAAACATTATTGTCAGTGATACGTCTGCTTTTTTCCAAGCTGAAAAGGAGATCCAGCTGGAGCACGAGTTGATATTTAATATAACATTTTCGGAAAATGCGGTTGACGATGAGGCGGCCGTTCCAGAGGTTGTTCAGTCTGAACAGAACTGCGAGTACACCCAAGATAGTGCCATTTGCTCTTTGTTAGATATGGATGCTCCAGTAGAACGCTCAGAAGTCCAAGATGCACACGATGACGAGACGATTCAGGAGCTAAAGTTTGGACTCAGTGGAAAACCCTCTCTGTGAAATGGTCCAATGCCAAACCCACTGGACGTAAATATAACGTACTGCTACTGTATCGCGATGTTGACATTCTGGAGTGATTCTGAGACAGGGGTAGCAAAGAATTTCCTGCTGTTGCTCTTCTAGCTAGAAGGTACGTGGCCAAACCTCTCTCTACAGCTATTCAAGAGAGGTTTCTTAGCCAAAATGGCTACGTGGTAAACGAACTGCGCACTCAACTTGATGACGAACGAGCAGAAAAACTGTGTCTAAGGAAGGCAAATTGGCGGGATTACCAAAGACTGCAAATCGATGTCTTGATGGTGGTGAAGAGTAATCATTCACCTGGTATCAATAGACGTATCAATAGGTTGATATGATATTGATATACTACCGTGAGCCTTTAAATGATAACAGCCTAATGCAAAAATTAAACCGTATTGGGATCAGAGTTATCATACAAAATGCCGATGATATGAACCCCTGTCTTCATACCAATGATTTAAATCGTACCCAGGTACGGTTAGCCAAAGTTTGCATTACCATTAAACCCGATCCCTAGTAGACTTAGCATTTGCACACATCCATACAATCTTTAAGTATCTTTTATTCTGTATTTAAATAAGTTTAGCAATTATTAATCCCGGAGAAGTTGCGATCAAGGGGGTTAAAATGATGAGAGCTGCAAACAGTGGTGGGCCTACGAAAAGTGCAAGTTTTCCATTGATCATACGAGAAAACTCATGTTAAAAATTCCTGAAGTTCCTGACTTTGGTCTTTTTACGTAACTTCAAAGATATCTGATCTCTGATTGGCCCACGCAATCTGTCAGTACTGATTCCTCCCTACATCATGACTACCGACGCCCCCGAGCACCAGCGCGTTACCGAGCTGTTCACCGAAGTGGTGGGCAGCTCCAAGTCCCTCGTGGGCGGTTATCTCTCCGTGGATGCGACGTCCGACTCGGCTTCTCTGCAGTTGATTTGGGACAAGACAGATCTGGTCAATAATGTGACGCACAAATTCCAGACCCGCCATCACGTGGGCTCGCTCACTCAGACGCAGCCAAAGGTGCTCGACACGGGTTTCCCCACTGGTTGGTCCAGCGACTACATGAGTGTTTCACCCTCTGGCAAGCGCGTGGTGACTCTGAAACTCGAGAAATCGAAGGGCGATGGCGCACCCGAAGGAGTTTTCTGCGGTATTTTTCTTCTAATGTAATTTTTCTACATATTTGAAGATATTAACTACTGCGCTAATGCATGGTATGGACAGTATTCGAGGCCAACAAGCTGGTGTCGTCATTCAAGGCCCCTAAGACGCTACATGGAGCCATCTACTTGGGTGAACGAGAAGGAGGTATCGCCTGGTCGAACGATGAGAAAACCATCGCCTACCTAGCGGAGAAGAAGATAACCGAGTCTCCAGCATTCTGGGAGAACATAAACAACAAGAAAGAAAAAGAAAAAGAGTCCAAATCGCCACTTCCTGGGTCGAAATTCGAGTATGTCGACGACTGGGGTGAACAATACGAGGGCAAGAAGACAGCATCCATCTTCCTCGCCACCTTGGCGACTGGAAAAATTGACGAGGTGAAAAATGTGCCGGAGAATTTGACCTGTGCTGACGTGGCTTTTGTGCCTGGAGACAACGAACTGGTGTTTGCAGCTACCGAGACCAACAATCCCAAGCGATTGGGCATAATTTACTGCTACAACCGACCCATTACGCTCTACCACGTTGTACTGAACAAAGAAGACCAGACCAAAAATGTGGTGAAGAAGCTGGAATTGATCCCCAGTGATGAAGAGAGTAAGGAGATTGGTACGATGAGAAGCCCACGCTTCTCACCGGATGGCAACCAATTGGCCTTCCTTGCGACGCGAGACGTTGCCACTCATGGAACCTGCAGCTTCTTGTGCGTCATGGACTGGAATACCAAGCAGACGTCGACGGTTATTCCCATCAAGGATGAACCGGATGCGTCTGAACTTGATGTCACCCAGGCGTTTAACGGCCTTTTCATTGGTTCGTTGCGAAAAAACGCGTGGTCTACTGACGGTAAATACATTTTAGTGGTGACTCAAGTGGGCTCTCGTGTCGTATGGAAATACGTCGAGGTAGCCACGAAGACTCTGATCTCTCCGGAATACGTCGAAGGCTCTGGAGTTGCCGTTGAGTCCATACTAGACCGCAATGGTGACTATTATCTAGTCATGGTGTCATCTCCTACACGTCCTGCTAGTGTCTACCTCGTGCACATTGATCCAGCGACTGGAAAGTATCTGAATCCTCCAATCAGCATCGATGATCAACAGGGAGCCACGCAGTATATTAAACGCTGGGAAGTCTACTCTATCCCGGCGTCTGTGTCCGACATCCCCGCTGCAGAGAAGAAATTACCAGAAACACCGTCAGTATTGAAAGATCTACTTCTTCCATCCACTTCAAGCTCGAGTGACTACGAAGCTACAGTCATGTTACCGAATAGTACCCCACCTGCTGACGGCTATCCCGTCATTTTGGAACTACATGGTGGACCGCACGGTAACTCGCCTGTCATGTACCGAAGCATGTGCGATTTCTGGGCTGCATTGGGTTTCGCTGTCGTTACCGTCAACTACCGAGGCAGTACCGGTTTCGGTATCAAGGCGTTGGAGTCTTTGATCGGAAAAGTGGGTACACAAGATGTGTACGACTGCCACTATGCACTGTGTTATCTGTTGGAGAAGAACTCGAGACTGGGTTTGTCGCTGGATAAGACCCGTGTGCATTGCTCTGGTGGTAGCCACGGTGGCTTTCTTGTTACGCACCTCATTGCGCAGTTCCCGGGTTTCTACAAGTCCATGGTTACACGTAACCCGGTAACCAACATGTCCAGCGTGTTCTACACGTCGGATATTCAGGACTGGGGTCTTGCGTGTACTGGAATTCAGCGGTTCGAGGCCATTCACACGTCTCAGAAGCTGCAGAACACAAAGGATGAATTGCCACCGTTGAGTCCAGAAGCGCGTCTGGCAATCCTCAGTAAACTCTGGCAACACTCGCCTGTCAGCAATGATCTCAGTAAGGTCACGACTCCTTCTCTCTTTGGACTGGGTGGGAAGGATAAACGTGTGCCGCCTAACCAAGGTCTGGAGTATCGTGCCACCATTTCAAGTTATGGTGTGCCTACCCAGCTCTTGTGGTACCCTGAAGACTCGCACCCGTTGGGTTCTGTGGAGGCTTTTGGAGATTTCTCAGTCAACTGGGGACTGTGGCTGCTCAAGCATAACCCCAAGTAAGGAGTTTAGCGAGCTTTGATCGGTATGAGCTAGCATTCACGATCATGTAAAAAGGATGTGAAGCTTGGAGGAAACTACTTGCACTCAACCGCGTGAGGTCCAAGTCTATGGGCTAGTGATTGTTCAAAGTACGTATCCTTGTTCGTGTTTGTAGTGGAAATTCATTTTTTTGGTTTTGAAGAGCGAGGAATGTATACGCACATTTCTGCGTACTTGTCGTTGTTGTAGACACTGCAATGCAATCATTATTGTTGCCCGCTGTCTAACTTACAAAAAACAAGTTTAACCACTGATTGGAATTCTTGTGTTGGACGAATGAAAGTGATTGTTGATATGGTTACGATAATTCTGTTGTTGCTATGGCAACGTAAAAAAAAATATGGCCATGTCAACGATATCGTCACCTTACTCTTTTGCCTGCGTGGGAGACGTCACGAGATCCGCGGAGCCAGCGTATTTCTGAATCAGCACGACATCATTAACTATTACTAGACGTTTTCTGTAAAAAAAAATTGACCACTTTGTAAGCGCACCTGAGCAAAGTCAGTGAACCCCCCGGCAAGTACCCGAACGTGCGTCTTGACACCAGCTGCCTCTGCACGCTCGATGAAGCGTAGCGCACACGTAGGGCCTCTTGTGTTGCTGCGACCACAGTGAAATACAACATCTCGTTTGCTGCCATATTTGGCGACCAAAGCGTCCACGTCGGCATCCTCCTTGAACGTATCTGAGGGGAGGTGCTCTGCATCCTTGATGTGTCCTAACAACTCGTAATCCTCGTTGCGCACGTCAACAACCACTGGACGTTCACGATCGGAGCGCAGAGCAGTAGCCAAGTCCTCGGCCGAGATGCGCTCAACAGCCAGAAGTTCCTCAGGAGTGGGCATGTTGGTTAATGTGTGCAGATCGATACCAAAGGGGAAATAATTTCTTTAAAAAAAAATCGAGATCCAAAAGCTGTTAAGTTTTTGGACCATATGTTGTAAAATAAAAAGATAACGAACGCGTTACAGAGAAACTTAGTGGAGAATGCTTGACCAGTCATAGATAAGGATCGAAGCTCCGTGGCACGTCAAGTGTTTCCTACACCTCGTAAGTTTTATTCAGTTTCTTACACCTCGTAAGTTTTATTCAGGTCCTAGCTCATTGGCAACTTACAGTCTCGTTAAGGTGTTTTCTATCGTTCATGCCCCAATGGTAATGGGAAAGCAAGAGAGATCTTTGAGGTCTACGATAACGATAGTAGACGTCTCGGAGAATGAAGGCACCGTAATAAGTCGAACTTGCTGATCTTTACCTCCTGTTCAAAACAATTAAAGTTAGAGATTAGTTAGCGCATGCAATTACAGTAATTATCATACCTTTAACGAGACGTGTGCTGAATCGCGGCTGGTTGCCTGAAAAATACACATGCGGGCAGGTTTCAAGGATGAACGGGTCCTCGTTGGCCATGGGGAAGCAGGCCAAGATGTCGGGAGCAGTAGGAGCTGCGTGACGCCACTCAACACACCGCTGAAGGTAGTCTAGTGCACGCTCCTGTTCTTGCTGTTCTTTCTCTTCCTCTGTTGCCATATTCTCGTCTTCGTCATCACTCTTGGGAAGTGTGCACTGAAGCATACTATGCAGAGGCTGGCCAGCATCTCCGAACAGCTGAACGCCACCAACCTGAGCCTCATATGGGTTCGTGACACATCGGAACGACTTGAAGTGCGAGCTGCGCGGGAACAAACACGGATGGAAACTTTGCTGGGGCAGCGTGTAGTTACTGGGGTCCGACGCTCCGGGCATGAGATCCACGCACATGGCCGCGGCCAACGTCGACACCAGCTCGTCAGCGTTCTTCAATGGTTCGCCCTCCAGGGCCAACTCCTCGGCCGTCTTGCGTATAATCGTCGGTACCTGAACTTCGTCACTACCAGAGGCTTCAATTACGTTGCCTACCACGATGGTTCTGACAATTTTTGACACAAATTCTCGCTCCTTTTCATCGCCCAGTCGGCCGGCCAAATAGTCCACCAGGACGTGATTCCGTAGCGGCCGGCTGTCTTTGTTGCGACCGATGTTTAGGCCCGAAACCAGGGCCACGTACTCACTCTCCTGTCGTTCTGGCAAGGGATGCTGAGGCGGGAACGACGGTAGATATACCTCCTCAACGTGGAAGTGGCCACCTGGCCCGTCGCGGGCCACACGGCCACGGACACCAAGTACTACGCCCGTGACAATTCTGGCCACGTCGATGTTGCCTACTAGCTGTACTCGGCCACTCTCATCCTCGAGTAATAGCTCGTCCTCCTTGGTGGCCAGTGGCCGATCGATTGTTTCGATGGGATTAACGCCCGACTCACTCGTAAGCGCGTCGAATAGGTCTGGCTTGGCCTCCAACACCTTGAGCAGCGTGCCGATGAGTACACACTCTTGGCCGTCGGCCTTGAGATCAATGACCTTGGCCAACACCGGGATTTGGCCGGCCGTGTGCTCCTGGACCTGGACACTCACCACATCGCGTAGCTGCTGCAACCGACTCACGTAGATGTGCGAGAACTGCTGTGCGTACGACTTTTGCTTCAGCACAAAGCGCTGGTATGTTGGTGTGTACTCGACGGAGTGGCGCGGGATCTGCAGAGAGAAATGAAGGCGGCCACAGACACAAGAATGCGGCCAAGTGTGTTAGATACCAGATGAGATGATGGCTATCGAGTGGCTGGCTCTAGAAGATGCAGGAGAGCCGCGCGTAGCGAAGGATCTGGTGGCGCGAGACGTACCATGGACGTTGGCGCCATTTTGACAAATGTGAATATGGTGTACAAAACATAAATCAAAGCCAAATTTTCACGACTAACTGTAATTTTGGCATTATTAACGTTCATTTTAAAAAATTACATTAGATTATTACCAAAAGAAAGGTTAACCCTTCCTACTTGCACGATTCCGAGTGTGCCTCCACTTCTCTTAACTGCATCTGCTTGCGGCATTTCGAGCATCTCACCTCAACCGGTGGTCGTGTCGGTAACATCGTACGTTGGGGTGGCGACTCCGGTACGTTTGGTTCATCTTTCACCGTTTGACGCACTACCGCACGAAGACTGTGCCAGTCAACACGGACAACATCGAGGATTCGAGAGTCCCAGGAGATCATGGATTGATTCTTCTTCACAGAGTCGTAAAACCCGACAACTTCAGTGGTCATTGACTCTTCTTCGTCTTCCGCGAGCTCAAACATTGGGATGGCGTTTAAACGCTGATTGGTCTCGTGTTTTAACCACTCGAACGTCGATTGCTCGGTAAAATACACACGTAGAAGCCGCACTGGTCCAGTCGTGGTTCCAACACTTGTAGCAATGAATATTTCAACTAAACAATCGCGCGTCCGCTCTGTGCTGCTTTTGGTCACAGGACGCAGTAGCGAGTTTTGAGAATATTGGTTTGGTGTCGACATAGCAGTCGATAGTGCTTTCCACAAATCGATCACATTTTTATCCTGTGTTTCACGTTCATTTCGTGGTGATAAGGCGATTCCAAGGCGATGGATCTTGTCATGAAGCTGCATCTTACTGGAAACGTCCAGAGCGTTTGTCGGCATCAACCTCGCTGCCTCAATGAGCACCACTCTTGCAGCAGGGATATCCTGCGTGCTTAAACGATGTAGATCACCGTAACACGCTAACGACAGCGCTAACTGTAGTCTTAACGAGTGTTCACGAGAGATCTTGATCGCATGTTCCAGTTGCGACTGAGCCAGCTTTGTTGAGGTAGGTGGTGTGGACAATAGTGCTCGCTGAAGGTTAATAAAACCACTAACCAGCCACGTTAGTGCATGCAAATCTGGTTCATCCAAGACACGCGATAGCTCCATAGCCGTTCCAAGTAAGAAATGGCATTGTGGGTTGTCCAGTTCCACGTCACTAGAGAGCTGCAATGCCAGTTGTACTCTAATGTCTATGGCTTTACGTAAAGCCTCACGTCGGAAGTTAAAACTTAGAGCAGGTTGGTCAGGCCCGGTATAAACACTGGAAAGGTTCTGCGAGATCACTGCAGTCCCATGCTCTGTCTCGCCGTACAGTGCCACATCGAGATCGTCAGCATCGATCTCCAGTGCGAGCATCACGGCCAAGCGAGACGCTGCTCGCTGGAATTCAAACACCATCCGTGGTGAAACAGGTGTTTCAACGTCTTTCGATGATGTTTCAGCAGCTATTTCGGCTTGAACGGGTTTGCCAATATCGGCGTAGTCCAAGTCGAGCGTCACGTGCGGGGCTGAAGCTGCCATAAGAGCGTCCAAGAAGGCACCTCGACCCAAATTGTGCTCGAATTCGATCCACAATTTGCTTCCGTCTTTCACCACCACGACCAAATCTTTCGTTCGTGCTGCTAAACTGCCACCTTTACCCGATTCATTAGTCGTTTTGAAGGTGAGTTGCACCTGAACAATAGCTGAATACTCCATTGCCGCCCACTGTTCGTAGTCATCGTACGACTGCAGGTGAGGACACTGGAATTCGCTTGCGAGTCGTTGTTGTGTGCTGCTCTCGAGTGTGAGTTCTGGTGGGGACATACAGACACACGATCGGGTTCTTTGTTGTTTTCGACGAAGAACGAAAAGGTGAGAATCTCCCAATGCAAGCAGTAAATCCTTGTCAGCTCGGTATGGAGACTTCTTGTTCGTCTTGAAACAACCTTTGCTAATTTCCTCATCTTCGGCCCACTCATCTTCTTCGACATACAAACGCGCCAAGGTGCCGTAGTGGCAAATGCTTGGGCTTGTCATGGTCGAAGGAAGGCTTCAACAGACGAAAGTGTGCTTCAAAACGCACCGGCTTGAGCTCGGGGCACAATGAAGCAGAGTTTTCATCCCGAAATAGGAAGATCAAGAAGCACTAAAACAAAACAAAATACTTTTAAAAAAAAGTAGAGTCATCAAATAGTGTCGAAACGTGAGCAAATTTGGATGTGACGAGCCGTCCTAAGACTACGCGTTTGGGCGATTCTGGTGTGGCATCGCCACTTCATTGCATCGAACGTTCACTTGAGTGTCGAAAACGAGTCTTGAGTGTCGAAAAGCGAGTTGTTCATGGCCACCTCGAGTTTCATCACAACTTCGTCGACGACTGCTGGATTTGAGCAAGAGGGTTGTGAGGATCTGTGGACAAGATTCAGCACGGAGTGCATCCATGAATGCGACGGCTCTCCTGTCAACTTGACAGGGTGAACACAAAAGAAACTTGTCAAACCACCATCTTACATCTGTATACTTGCATTCCAGAGTCAGACAACCGTCTCCGTACATTTTGCACTAACACTAACATTAATAATCAAGAAACCAAATTTCGGTAGCTTGTTATTTGATTCCTGTGTCGTTACGAGTCGCCTTTCATGCCTTCACGTTGCCACACAGCTTCGTGTGTGATCGAGCCACCTGCATATCGGTTGTACGGCCACCGTCGGTCGAGCACTGCAACGGATCGCCAGCTTTCGAGCTTTCGGGTCCTCGAAAGCGGCTGTGCGATGCTGACCAGCTGGAAGTGCATGGTCAGAAGCCAATTTGGCGAGCGGATAGGCAGCGGGAGGGCTGCGATAAGACGCTCAACAGGTGGCCCAAAGTCCACCGTGGCGTGCGTCGTCGGTCAGAACGAAAGGTGCGAGGTGAAGCGCTCATTAGCCATCATGGCGGACTCGGTGAAGATTATCGGAGACGATGACGAAGTCTTCACGGGTATCCGACCTCCGCTTCATCGTCGACATACACTCGGTGGGAATTCGTCACTAGCGTCGGACCTGGCGCATGCTCCTGTGGTGTGGAGACCAGTGATGCCCATGGGTCGACGGTCAACGCTAGCGTCGCGTTCGGAGACGGACGACGTCGGTGAACTTCGCTCTACTATCGACGGATCTATGCGGTCCGTACGCTCTATCAGTGACGCGTCAACTAGCAGCCATCGTCACGATAAAACCACCTTCGCACTACACGACGTCGACGCCTTCAGTGTCCAGCGAGCCAAGGTTATTCGTCGTATCAGCGAGGAGCGGTACGTCCGATTCCGCAACTTTTTCAAGAGCTTTGAACCGGAAATGGCCATGGAGATTCAAGCGAGAAGCGCCTTCTCTCGCGAACATTTGGACGCGTGGGTCAACTATATTGTGAGTCCTAAAGTACTGCGGTGTATCGGGAGTAGTAAAGACACTCAGCAAGAGGTTCTGGACCTCCTGATGGTGTCGGCAGCCATTTCAAAGTACGGAGAGAGTGACTTGATGGCCAAGGACAGGAGGGGCGACCTCAGTGGTCTGCAGAATATAAAACTTCACACTTACGATGAGTTCTCGCCTAGTCAAAAGCCACAGACTAACAACAAGGAACCGGTTGCCATGGAGTTCGTGGTTCGAATTAACGAGCGATTAGCAGAGGAAAGGCGCGTGGGTGGCGTCGTGCTTCGTGAAATCCTGGCACACGCTGGCACTATGGAGATCGAGAACGACGAAGCAGACTCCGATTTAAGCAAAGAGGAAGAGCGATTTAAGCAAATCGTAGTCCGAGTACAGTCCGACTGGTTCCAGGACGCTATCTTGAAGGCAAATGGTCGATACTTGTACGACGCTATCCGTCAGGTTATCAGCAATGCGAACAATTCCTTGTGGGATGCGTCGAAGGAAAAGCCGGAGTTGAGAAGAACACGAAGCGATAGAGTGAGCTCTGAGGGTCAGCAGGTCGAGAGGAAGGCTGTACGAAGGCGACCGAGTATGCCTCCACCTCCTCCTCCACAAGGTGCAATGACGGCGTTGGTGTCCTCTCCGATAAACGCTTCTGCCAAAGTGGGGTTCACCATCTACAACCGATCCTCGTCGATGCCTTCAGAAGAGATTCAAGAGCTGGTCGTTGGGACGGACAAGACGCGACGGAAGCTGCTGCCTCTCGGAGCGATGCGACGGCCTCGCGGTCTTCCACCCAAACTGCCTCAACGTAAAGAGAACGACCCGATCGTCCACGCGCCCAGTGCGTTTGTCGTCAAAGCTCAAGAGCGAGAATGAACAATAGTTCGTGTCATATACGTCACATGTAGTCGCTGTACCAGAAACTCAAGAGAGAGAAACAACACAATCAATTAATCTATTGCACCCTTTGCGTTACCATGATGATAAAAAAAAAAAGATCACCATGTAAAACAACACATTTTCTTAAAAAAGAAAAAAAAATTGTCCTTCACAAGAGAAGACCCCCTACAATTGATCTGGGGTGATCGGATGCGGCAATGGTATGATCGACTTCTTGTGGACGTCTCGAGGCAGCGCCTTCCTCATATCTGAACAGCAATTAAAACACCAGCTACAGTTAACACATACGCTCTTGTACAATAGCACACCTTAGAAATACCGTACCAAAGGCATCTTCCCCGTCGTCTGCACTGGAATAGTACCCGAGAACGCGTCTATAGACCGAGTAACCGAACTTCTCGTACATCCCGATAGCCAGCGAGTTGGAGACACGCACGAACAGGTCCACGAAGTACGCGTCGTAGAGTTCTACCGACACGTTCTCCAGGTAGTCCATGAGATTCTTGGCTAGTCCGAGACGACGGAACTCCGGGGCCACAGTCACCGCCGTCACGTGTCCGTGCCAGTTGGTGCCTTGGCCTTCGGCCTTGCCCATGACTGCAGAGTAGAGCGAGTAGAACGTGGTTTAGCGCTTAAAAATTCGCTGCGAAGATATGACAGACTAGAGTGGATAGCGCAACGTACTGTAGCCCATGATGGTGTTGTTCGGGTCCTCCTGCACTAAGAAATAATCCGGCCACTTGGACAGATACTGAAGGTAGAAGGACATGTTGTACTACAAGGCAGAACTCGGTCAATACACAGCGTATGGAGGTACAAGAGGCACCAAAATGTGGGCAAAAGACTCACGGTCTCCGTTAGCACGTCCAGGTTGACATTGTTGAAGCGGAACAAGTCATCGCAGCAAAACTTGCGCGTCGAAGTCATGGCGACTTTCTTGGTCGGTGGATGACGATCTCAATAATGGGGTGTTTGGTACATTGTACCAATTGTAAACCACACCTACCGGTAGTACCGCTGCAAATAGGGAGAGTTTCGGCAACTTTGCCGCAAGTTCGGCAACTTTGGGTCTAATCCGGCAACGTTGGCTCAAAAATAGAGCATTAAGGATGCTCTAACCAGCCCGTTTTGGGAGTGGAAAACGCTCTAACGCTCGCAACTTGGCGAAAAGCAACTTAATTGGCCTCAAGTGCACGCGCAACTTGGCGAAAAGTTGGACACTTGAGTACGTGGCAGGACCTACCATCGATGGACGACGAGTTGTGTGTGCCTCGATCGTATTACCTTCTGCCTTTTGCCGACAATGGCTTAGAAGTGCGGGACTCCAACATTCCGGGAGCTGGCAAAGGGCTATTCGCCACCAAGTTCCATGCTCAAGGGTCTACCATCTGCGAGTACTCGGGAGTTGTGGTGCCGAATGAAGTAGCCTGGAAGCAAAAGGACAAGTCATACCTCATGAAGCTCGGCGGCGGTGTCTACGTGGACGCTTTAAACTGTCCTGACGTCCTGGCGCGGTACATCAACGACTGCAGAGGACATCGCGGGGGCTTCAACGTCCACTTCGTGAAGCGCCCGGAGGACACTAAGGCCGATGTCGTTGCGATGCGAGACATTCACCCCGGAGAGGAGCTGTACGTCAACTACGGTCGTCTTTACTGGCTCGCCTACAACATGATGCACCCCAGTAACCCCGTGCGCTAACTGCACATGGCGAACCTTCCGTTAATTGATGAATACCACTACATTGCGTTAATTGAAAAAGAATGGCATGGTCTACATTGACGTTAATATTCGCGGAGAGAAGCCGAGATGGCAGCTGCTACATCCTCTTCACTGGTACTGCGAGGCTTCGTTGGTGTATTGTCCTGGTGGCCCGTGCTGCTCATGCTGCTCGACAACGACATCTTCGCGCTCTGCATGGACGGCTTGTTAGTCCCCAGGAAACGATATTACGTGAAACAAGCCCTCCATGCTACCTGTCGTGCGAGTTCGTCGTCCGACTCATCCCTCTCAGTTGCAACCGCCTTCTCTTCTTCCTCTGCCTTGCGCATAGCGGCGATCTCCGCCTCCGCGATCTCCAGGAAGATGCGCTCGCGGTTGAAATCGTAGTCAAACACGTCCTGATAATTAGCACAATCATACGCGCCAATTAGTTGATACATTGACGGCGCGTTGCAACCTACAGCTTCTTCATGCTACCCTTTGCAGCAGATTCTCGTTCAGCGAGGGCATCACAGGCGCAGTTGTGAACGTTCTGTTTAGTATGATGTTCGTGTGCTGTAACGCAACAACACCGCAGAAATTATCAGCTATATGTTGAGGGTAGATTAATATCGTCTTGGCAAGGCATTTCGCCGCAATTCCACCTTGAGAATAGCCGCCTGGCCGCTGGAATGCACCGGAGACGACGCCATGATCGACGGTCTTCGTCTTGCTTTTCCTCCAGATTGCGGTGCGTCTCCAAAATAATATCCCTGTCATTTTCGCATCATTGGTATGAACAGGTACTCTAGCATGTTATATTGTACGCCTCGTAATGAGCTCCTTCTTGCGAAGCACGGGTGCTCTTACAAGCATCTTGCCGTCTCTAGTTAGCTCTATTGCGTATTCTCTATCTATCCATGCAAAAGTCTAGCATCAGTTTTATCTTATGACGTCAAAATTGCCACAACAGCATCTGCTTCCTGTCAACGTCGCTTAATTCCTTCGAGGTCGAGTTTGTCTGTGCCTTTGCCGCTCTTCCAGGGCCACCCAGTGCCCACGCGGCCTTTTACATCCTCTGAGCCGTCCTTATCCTCTGACGGTGCGTCCATCCACGAGTTTGTTGTGTCCACTGCCTTGGCCGAGGTCCAGTCTCCTTTCTTCCAGTCACGTTCGCTGCGCTGCTGTGCCTGTGCCGTGTCCACCAGGTCGCTTACCATCTTGAGTTGATCGCGTGCCAGGCGCAGCAACATACTCACGCGCCGCTCGTCCTCCTCGTAGCGGCAGGCTTCGAAGCCTGCGCGGATTTGGCGCCGTACGTCCAGCCGCACGTCGGCGGCCAGCGGCTTCGTGGTGCGCAGGAACTCGCGGTACTGCTTCAGCACAGCTGTGCGGTTCAAAAAGTACTGCAGCGACTTGACCTCGGGTCCCAGTGCTCGCCTCGTGACGCCCATGACAGGCAAGTAGCTGCTGCCAGCGAGAAATAACTCGCACCTCCGAAATGAGCACTAAAAAGGGAATTTTGCAAGATCATTCCTAAATTTTACAGTTTAGTTGTATTTGTTTCAGAAAAAGCAAGTTGAAGTGAAAAATGTGGGGCCATGGCAGTGCCTATGGCCAAGTACGATAAAATACTCAAGTAGGCAGCGTCCGAACCAGTGTAGGCATGGCTGCGATGGTACCAGCGGCATCAGGGAGACCGCGGTCACCTTGGTTTTATTTGTGTTATCCTGTACACCACGAGAAGCGGTGCGTTAAGTTTTTTGGCCTTGCTGAAAACGGAGCAAGAACGCTCTCCAAGCAATCGCTGCCGATGATAGCAGCGCATTAAGCTGGCGGTTGAGCAAGCTGAACGTTGGCGAGTACCGAATCAGGTATGGAAATCTTGAAAACTGCTGGTGGATGCTTCCATCGCTTAGATCTCAATCTTACGCGCCCGAAATTTTCGTCCGCAGCAGGATGCTCTTAGTACGAGGCGATAAAAGAGTTTGGCAGAGATGTAAGATCTGAAGATCCAGTCAAGCTGCACTAATGGACGTAGTCGAGCACGAACCTTTCTCGTTGTGGTACTGAAAAGAAAAACTGACAGCATTGTTTTAAAAAAAAATGTAGATATTCATTTCAGACTTTAGAAGGTGGGAAACCATGCAAAAGAACCTGACATAGTCAAGCAAGCACGTTATCATGCTGTAATGACGCGGACTCCAACGGATGACACGCGCTCAGCCGACACCATATCGGGCTGCGTGATGAACATCATGTTGCGCGGCACATCCATCTTCTTCGACAGCCACTCGATCGTCGCGGGGTTGAAATCACCTTGAACCGATACGAAGTCGATGCGGATCTTCGGGTACATGCTGTCGAACAGCATCGCCAAGTTGCGGAACGATTCCAGCATGGGGGCGTCGCTCTCTTCGTCCGAGAACACGTGCACGATACGGAGTGTGTGCGTCTGCTCATTGCGACGCACGTACACGATCACCTTGTTAATGATTGTCAAGTCTGGGCGCTTGCAGAAGAAGATGATGGGAGCACTGCGGATACTCGTGATGGCTCGAGCGATCGTGCGACCTCCGCGAGCTCCCGTGTGCTCCACCTCTGGGGTGTCACGCGTGCGGAAATAGTTGACAGCAGTTTCCTTCGCGTACTGTGACGGCGCCGTCTTCTTCATGAGTGCCAACAGACAGCGCAGAATCGTGACGCGCTCGAACATGATGAACATGACAAGAGCCACGACGATGAAGTACAATGCAAAGTACATCAACACCGACGGATCTCCGAGCAGGTTGGCGAAAATCGCCACCACCACCATAATCAATCCCAGCACCAGTGTAGACCACGGCGCAATGACATCGCGTGGGATCTCAGGTCGCTTCGCCTTGAGTAGCATAGCAGCACTCGCAAAGAGCGCCATCAAACCCAGGAATGCGTATGTGTACACACCGTTCATGATCGTGGAGTCAGCGTTGAGAATCAGCACGAGACTCGCCGACAACAGGAAGAATGCGGCAATGATGTAGTGGTTCGTGCCGCGCAACTGGTTGGTCTTGGCCAGGAAACTCGGCAACACCCGGTCCGTTGCAAGTCGACGCACCAATCCACAGATACCAACGTAAGAGGTCAGAACGGAACCCGAGAGCACGATGAATGCGTCCACGCTGACCCAGGTACTGAACCAGCTTCCGAGAGCCACCTCAGCGGCCTTCGACAGCAATGCGTCTTTACTTGCGTAGATACCACCGTCACCGCCAAGCGGAAGAACCGCAAGGATGCCGACTCCAAGGCAAACGTTGAAGAATGAGGCCAACGCCCACATGTTGCGCAGCGTCTTGCGGAACACACCGGGGGCTTGTTCCTCGACGTAGTTGGACGATGACTCAAAGCCGGTGATACCCAGCATGGCAGCACCGAAACCGAAGAACACGGCAGTGAACGCATTGCCGTCCAACATCGTTCCGGCAAAGTCCACCTCGGGGAAGTCGGCGTTCATGTTATCACGGAAAATGTCCGGGTTTTTGATACCGTGCACCGCACAGGACACCACCAGAATGCTCAGTACCACGATGTGGTGCAGAAAGATGACAAGGGCGACACGGGAGTTTTCAGCGATGCCCACAAGAGCCAGCAGTGCGAACGCGAACAAGAGCGCGATGGTGCAGGCCACAATGGGGATATCCACTTGCGTGTCTAGGTAGTGAACGCCTGACGTAGCTGAGACCACACCCGTGGCCACGTACGACAAGATACTCAGACAGGCAGCCACGGCCGCTGCACGCTTCGACGTGGTGTTCAATAGGGCGTTGTAGGTACCTCCGTTCATGGGGATAGCGGTGACCACCTCTTCGTAGATAAACCGGAAAAAGTAGAGCACGATCGCCACCATGAGCAGCGAGACGGGCATGAGTTTGCCGGCCCTGGCAACCACCGACGCAGCTGCATACAGCACACTGCCCAGAATGTCGTTGCCACTGATAGCGGTGGCAGGCCATTCAGACAACAGTTTGCGTGGTTGGTCCAATTGGTGTTGGATCTCGGCGAGTTCGGATTCCGGCACGTGTACGTGCTGAGAGGTGCCGGAACGGGGAAATTGCCAGGTAGGACCCCGTGCTGCACCTTCCTCCACTTCAATCTCAATCTTGCGACGACGGACGTTGAGTCCACTTCCCATGACAGGCACCGGCGACGCAACTTCGAGGTAGCTGCTCGACTCCATGGATAACTTGGCTGGTGAGGTGATAGAACTTGACTTGAGACCGACTCCGCAAAATGAGGAATAGTGCAGAACTGAAAGGTGTTTTCAAATGATAAAATCTACGATGTAGGCGTAGCATTATCCTTCTATACATACTACCGTACTCAGAAAAATGCTCAGTACTATTGTCGCCAATCCCCGTTAGGCCCCGACGAGAAACAGAGTGGAAAGATCAAGACGGGTCATCCCTCCCTTCCCTCTGGCACTACCAATTGGTGACAATCTTCTGGATCAGCGTTTTGGGTGTCTGCAAAGGAGAGAGTAGGCTCTCCCGTTCGCGAAAGGGGATTCGAGACGCCGAATTCGAGGTGCAACGGCAGCCAAAAGTTTTCATTTTTCAAGAAACAGTTGTCATCGTTGGTTGTCACTCCATCTGCTCGAAAGAGAAGATTGGCGATGAGACCTGTACACGAAGCACCCTGCAGTGTGTCCCGCATTGCGCCTTTGCACTGCGGGAAGCTTCTCTTAGTCGAATTGCTTGCCGCCAGCAATTTTTTTTTTCTTGCACGGGCTGTGCTTGTCTACAAACATACAAAACACCGTCTGAACGACACCTTTTTTTTTTAGTTTTCAAAACCAATGGTTTGCCGTTGGTTTGTCCTATCTGGGATCCACTTTGGTCCGGCTCGGATCCGCAAAAGACCAGCGACTCGAGCAGAACTGGTCCGCTGGATAGCAAGAAGTTGAGTTGCACCTACGTCTACGATCAGCACATTGCCCGGGGCAATTGCTTCTTGAGATCCCGAGATTGCTGGACGGTGGGTGAGTCCTGTCCGAAGCTGCAATCACATTGGCGCGCGACTAGGCGCTGGATTTTTTTCGCATGTGACGAGGCGTTTTGCAGTCCGTTTTTTTGACAAACGAAATGTCAAGTGAGATTGGGCGAACCCATGGATCGTTTGCCCGCATTTCTATCGTCTGCTCTTTGACAAATGTCAATGTACGTATGTTATGTTTCACAAACATTTTCACGTCCAGAAGATTTACTAACCGTAAAAAAAAACTGTCAAGAAATGGCCGCAGTTTTACAGAACCATCACCCCAAAGAACAAAATGAATCTCGGTTTTAGCAAGAAAATCAAGAACAATGACAGTGCAGCGAACTTTCTCCGTCGTGTAGAATTCCGGGAAACTCGATAGATTGTGGTCAACTTTAGCGAGCATTTGTCGAACATTGGTGGAAAGATTTTACATCGACAGGATCAATTGTGGAAGTCCGCTGTTCATTACTTGGATAGTCTTAAAAATAGTAGAGTTAACTATGTTAGCTACCAGCCAGCGCACACTACGTAGTTTACCAACCCGATCCGAGCAAGCGTTGGTCAAAATTATGGGCCAATATACCAGTGATAAAAGGTTTTGTTTACACATACATATCTCGACATTCTCCCACTGTTTAAAGCCCATCTGGAACCCGAGCATCCCACAGCGCCATCTTGCATGCATGTCGTCCGAACCGAAGCAATTGCCGTCCGATTTCAGCGCCTCGTTCTTCAGCTTTGATCATGTGGTGCGGTCTCTGTTTCAAATGTCAGGTCTCTTGTGGCAAGCGGGACGGATGTCATGGCACCACAAATGCCACGGATCCGTTAAACCGCCCGCCTCAAAGCCCTGAAGATGCAGGAATCTCAATGCAAAATATGGCGGGAGGGATGACCCACACCACGAAGCGCAAAATTAGTATAGATACAAGGACAGTGGACATCACGATAGCCTGTCCCTTACTCTGAATGAAGCGCCAACTTGACTTGGATATTGAAGTGACCCATACAAATGGCCATATATCGCGATTCCAAGCGCGCTGCACTTGCCACTCAAGCGCAAAAGTTTTGCATTCCGCTTTTCGCCACGTCCGAGGCAGTTGAAACGTCCCGTGTTAAGTGTCCCAGTCCAAGTCGCAATGGTCTCTAGCGCTGGAGAAGGCGGAAGCACCACTGGCAACCTCCAGGTGCCATCGGCAGCCTACATGGAGGTTTTGTCACCCCGCGTCCCGAGCTCCGGCGCCAGTTCGCGGGCTTTGAACCTTCGTCGCCGCAAAATCGAGATTGAGATCGTCGAAGGTGCTCGCAAGGGCCCGACGTGGCAATTCCCGGGCTCTGGCTCCTCGGAGCACGTGCAAGTGCCGCAAGGCGAACTGACCGAGATCCAGGAGGAACTGGACCAACCCAAGAAGTTGCTGGGCCAATTGCCAGCCACTTCCATCTCGGGCAATGACATTCTGTCCAGCGTTCTCTACTCGGCGTCGTCGGTGGCTGCCAAGGCCGGCAAACTCATGCCCATCCCTCTCCTCATGGTCTCCACTGTGCTCTTCTTCTTCCGCTTCATTTATGAAGAAGTGGTCACTGCCATCCCTATGAATGGCGGTACCTACAACGCGCTCTTGAACACGACATCGAAGCGCACGGCTGCAGTGGCCGCCTGCCTCAGTATCCTTTCGTACATTGCAACGGGTGTCGTCTCGGCAACTTCAGGTGTTCGCTATCTGAACAACCAGATCGACATTCCTATTGTCGGATCGACCATCATTCTGCTCGGAGCGTTTGCGGTTTTGGCAGTGATCGGGATCACCGAGAGCTCACGTGTTGCCGTCGTCATCTTTCTGCACCACATCGTCGTGCTCCTCATCCTCTTCGTGTCCTGCGTCGTCTACGGCATCAACCACCCTCATATTTTCCGTGACAACATGCACGCCGGCTACCCGGAGGTGGATTTCGCGGGCTCCATGCTGGACGGCAACGTTTTCACGGCCATTTTCTTCGGTTTTGGAGCTTCCATGCTTGGTATCACTGGCTTTGAGTCCTCTTCCAACTACGTTGAGGAGCAAAAGCCCGGCGTCTTCCGTCAAACTCTACGCAACATGTGGGCGCTCGTCACGTTCTTCAACGTCGGTCTAGGCACCGGCATCCTCGCCGTGTTGCCGCTCGAAGGTAAAGGTGGCATCTACGATAGTTCCGATGATCTATTGGCCATGGTCGGGCGTGAGTCTGTGGGGAGCTGGTTCGAGTCGTGGATCTGTGTGGACGCCTTTGTTGTCCTGTCCGGTGCAGTCCTGACGTCCTACGTCGGTATCTGCGGTCTTGTGCGTCGTCTATCAACCGACCGTGTGCTGCCGGCCTTCCTGGCCAAAACCAACAAGCTGCGTGGCACAAACCACTACATTATCGGCATCTACTTCTTGCTCTCGTCGAGTCTCGTGCTCATTCTGAACGCTGATGCCACTACGGTGAACGGAGTGTACACGTACGCGTTCCTGGGTCTGATGGCCATGTTTTCGTGCGCCTGCATGTTGCTGAAGGGCAAACGCTCCGAGATCCCGCGTGACATCCACGCTCCGTGGGCTGCGGTTATCATCGGCTTTATCCTGGTTGTTGTTGCCATTTTCGCCAACTTGCTGGGCGATCCGTCGGTGCTCATGTACTTCGCCATCTACTTCATCGTCGTCATGTTCGCCATGTTCATCATGTTCGAGCGCGTGACCATTTTGCGTTGCATGCTGGTTATGCTCAAGAAGATGGCGCCGTCTCGATATGGCAAGGCGGCTGCAGTCGGTTTGACAACTGGCAACTCGGAAGTGGAGCACACTGGTGCGCGTGGAGGACGCACTATTGCACGCACTATTGTGAGCATACGCAACGCTCCCATTGTCTTCTTCTGCAAGGTGCCCGACCTGACTATTATCAACAAGGCCATCATCTACGTGCGTCGTAACGAACAGACCCACACGCTGCGCATTGTGCACGTGTTCACGGACGAAGAGGCCGATGCACCGGTGCTCACAGCGTTCCGTGAGATGGCTGCGTTGTTTGACAGCATGTACCCGAAGATCCGAGTGGACTTCGTGTCGGTGCAAGGTGAGTTCTGTCCGGCGATGATCGAGTGGTTGTCGCGCTCGATGAATGTGCCACGCAACATGATGTTTATCACGCAACCCGATTTGATCTCGGCCGAGCGTGTATCGACGGCCGGCGTGCGTGTCATCACGGCATGATTCAAGTATTGAGTATCATGTGAATACAATTACTTTTGAAGTAATAGTTTTTCTTTTTTTGTTCGGATTTTTATTATGGTCCTCTCATTTTCTGAAGTTACAGAATGTTTTGTTGGAAAAGATGCTAAGAAGTAATTTAAAATACGTGTATTTTGCTTGACTGAGACGGCGCTCTATTCCAGTCGCTGGATTTTCAGATCTGGGTGACATTTTGAGGCAACAGCACCACGATCGAACTCATTCCATTTCAAGTTTTGCCATGGGCGATTACCAGGAACTTGTTTCGAGTCAATCACAGACAAACACTGTTGCTGGTGTTGCAACTTTCAGGCGTCGCAAGATTGAGATAGAAGTGGTGGAAAATGCATCAAGAGGACCAACGTGGGAATTTCCAGGTTTTGGTTCCTCCCAGAGGTTGTACATACCTGCTACGGATCTTGCCAATATTCAGCTTTCCCAGTCCCGTACGCTTCTATCCGAGTGGCTAGCTACTGCTATCATCGGCAACGACTTTCTGGGCAGTGTACTCTACTCCGTATCCAATGTAGCTGCCAAGTCTGGAAAACTCACCCCCGTGCCGCTTCTCATGGTGTCCATTGTGGTACAATTATACAAGCTCATGTACGCTGAGGTGATCACTGCCATCCCCATGAACGGAGGTACATACAACGCGTTACTGAACACCACATCGAAGCCCATTGCTACAGTCGCTGCTTGTTTGGGTATTTTATCGTACGTGGCCACGGCAACTGTAGCCGCCATCTCAGCCGTTAATTACCTCTCTACACAAGTAAATATCCCGATCGTGGCCTGTACAATCGCGATTCTGCTGGCTTTTGGTCTCTTGGCACTTCTTGGCATTGTGGCAAATTCTCGTGCTGCACTCGCCATCTTCCTCCACCACATTGTTGTGCTGTCTATATTAGCGATCTCATGTGTGATATACGGTATTCAGAACCCGACCGTCTTTCGCGAAAATATGCAAACAGAATTTCCTGACGTAATTATCGCTGGGAAGATGTTGGACGGCAGCGCATTCACTGCCGTGTTCTTTGGCTTTGGAGCTGCTATGCTTGGCATAACCGGTTTTGAGTCATCGTCCAACTACGTCGAGGAACAGGCATCGGGTGTATTCCGTAAAACTCTACGAAATGCTGCTTTACCCACCACCATCTTCAACATCTCTCTAGGGATCGGTATCCTTGCGGTTCTTCCGCTTGGCGGTGACGGTGGTATCTACGCAAGTAAAGACGCATTGCTGTCGAAGGCCGCTGAGGTGGCTCTCGGAAGCTGGTTCAGTACCTGGGTCAGCGTGGACGCATTCATCGTGCTCTCGGGTTCCGTTCTGACCTCTTACGTTGGTATCTGTGGATTGGTGCGTCGACTTGCAACGGACCGGGTGTTGCCGAGTTTCCTGGCCAAGACCAACCAGTTGCGCGGCACGAACCACTACGTCATTGCCGCATTCTTCCTGTTGTCGGCGAGTCTCGTGCTGATTCTCAACACCGACTCCACGATCATGAACGGTGTGTACACATACGCATTCCTGGGTTTGATGGCGCTCTTTGCGAGTGCTGCTATGCTACTCAAGGCGAAGCGACCTGAGATCCCACGCGATGTCATTGCGCCGTGGTCTACACTGGTGCTGGGATTGGTTATGGTGGTGGTGGCGATTTTCGCCAACCTGCTCGGAGACCCGTCGGTGTTGATGTACTTTGCATTGTACTTCATCGTCGTGGCTCTTGTCATGTTCATCATGTTCGAGCGCGTCACGATTCTACGCTGTCTGTTGGCACTCATGAAGAAGACGGCGCCGTCACAGTACGCGAAGGAAACTGCTGTCAACTATTTCCGCACGCGTGACACCCCAGAGGTGGAGCACACGGGAGCTCGCGGAGGTCGCACGATCGCTCGAGCCATCACGAGTATCCGCAGTGCTCCCATCATCTTCTTCTGCAAGCGCCCAGACTTGACGATCATTAACAAGGTGATCGTGTACGTGCGTCGCAATGAGCAGACGCACACACTCCGTATCGTGCACGTGTTCTCGGACGAAGAGAGCGATGCCTCCGTGCTGGAATCGTTCCGCAACTTGGCGATGCTGTTCGACAGCATGTACCCGAAGATCCGCATCGACTTCGTATCGGTTCAAGGTGATTTCAACCCCGCGACGATCGAGTGGCTGTCGAAGAAGATGGACGTGCCGCGCAGCATGATGTTCATCACGCAGCCCGATATGGTGTCGGCTGAGCGCGTGTCATCCGTTGGAGTCCGCGTCATTACGGAATAATTTAACAACTTCTCTTTTGAATGTCTATGATCATCTCATTCGGTTGCCACGCTGTTGCTTGAACCGTTGTGAGTTGTCAGCAAATACCCACTTGTTGCGAAAACGAAACAAGTCGGGCTACTGGTACAATAGACACCAATGCATAGGATAAACATAAATTCACCTATCAATAGAAGGTCACCTTACCACTACAATAGACATCAATGCTCATGCAAAACCTCCATGTTATCCCCCCCCCTTCTAACCCAATCACCCCTACCAATACATCAGCTCCCGCTGGCTGATGCTGAGGCCTCACACAACAGCATGTCGGCTAAGTGATGTTATGTTGGGGGAAATTGGACGCTGCCACCGTCTCAAAAGTAAAAATATCGGAGACCCCTTCACCGCCGACCAGATTTTGAGCTATCAAATGGCAATTCTCAAACAGTTCTAGGCCACGTTCGAGCCAACCAAACCACAACAGCAGTCGATCCAGTAGCTATATCAACACGCGAAATCTTAATTGGGGAAGAGCTTATCTCTCTCTGGGCCGGGGACGCCGCCATCGCATTTCATTCTCTCTTTGTCCTGATCAAGCACTCGACTGCAACTCGCTTTCGTTTACGCTACCTCAAGTCAACCTCATGAATCAAGAGACCAACAACAACGGGGCCTTATTGGCACCGTCGCCGTTCTACCGGCGTGCTTCTTCGCCCAGTTCGCAAGCCTTAAACCTTCGACGGCGCAAGATCGAGATCGAAGTGGTTGACAAAGGCCCCAAGGGCCCGACGTGGCAGTTCCCGGGATTCGGTACATCGGAGCATGTACTGGTTCCTGAAGTGGAGCTCGCCGACATCCAAGTCGAGCTCGACAAGCCTCGCACGTTTCTCGGGGAACTTCCCGCGACCGCCATCTGCGGCAACGATATCCTGTCCAGCGTGCTGTACTCGGCGTCGTCGGTGGCCGCGAAATCCGGCAAACTCATGCCCATTCCTCTGATCATGGTGTCGGCCGTGCTGTTCTCGTTCCGTTTCATCTACGAAGAAGTCGTCACCGCTATACCTATGAACGGAGGTACTTACAACGCACTACTTAACACGACGTCCAAGCGCACGGCAGCCCTCGCAGCGTGTCTGAGTATTTTATCCTACCTGGCGACGGGTGTGGTTTCCGCGACGTCGGGTGTGCGCTACCTCAACAACCAGGTGGAGATCCCTATCGTCGGATGTACGATCATCCTACTCGGAGCTTTTGCTCTCCTGTCCGCTTTGGGTACAGCCGAAAGCTCACGCGTGGCTGTGGTCATTTTCCTGCACCATATCATCGTGCTCAGTATCCTCTTCGTGTCGTGCATAGTCTACGGTGTTCAACATCCTCATGTCTTCAGCGACAACATGCACTCCGAGTTACCCGAGGTGGATTTCGCGGGTTCCATGCTCGATGGCAACGTGTTCACGTCCATTTTCTTCGGATTTGGTGCTTCCATGTTGGGTATCACGGGGTTTGAGTCGTCGTCGAACTACGTCGAGGAACAGGCTCCGGGTGTCTTCCGGAAGACTCTGCGCAACATGTGGGCACTCGTCACTTTTTTCAACATTGGCTTAGGGACTGGGATTCTGGCTGTGCTCCCGTTAGGAGGTGACGACGGCATCTACGCACACGGCGATGCCTTGCTGGCAAAGGTGGGGCATGTGGCTGTGGGGAGCTGGTTCGAGACGTGGGTTTGCGTGGATGCTTTCGTTGTCCTGTGCGGTGCTGTATTGACGTCGTACGTCGGTATCTGTGGTCTCGTTCAACGTTTATCAAGCGACAGAGTGTTGCCGGCATTCCTGGCCAACAAGAACAAACTGCGCGGCACCAACCACAACATCATCGGCATTTACTTCCTACTGGCATCCAGTCTTGTGTTGATCTTGAATGCGGATGCCTCTACTGTCAACGGGGTCTACACGTACGCGTTCCTCGGTCTGATGGCAATGTTTTCATGCGCCTGTATGCTGCTCAAAGGCAAGCGTTCCGAGATTCCTCGAGATATCCACGCGTCGTGGTCGGTCGTTATCGTCGGGTTCCTACTTGTCGTGGTGGGCATTTTCGCGAACCTATTGGGCGATCCGTCCGTACTCATGTACTTTGCTATCTACTTCATCGTCGTGATGCTCGTGATCTTCGTCATGTTCGAGCGCGTCACGATCCTTCGCGTTGTTCTGGTGTTTTTGCAGAGCGTAGCGCCGTCTCGAATGGGGAAGGAGATTATCGTCGGTATGGTGGAGGATGGAACACCTGAAGTGGAGCACACTGGTGCGCGTGGAGGACGCACTATTGCACGTACTATTGTGAGCATCCGCAACGCTCCCATTGTCTTCTTCTGCAAGGTGCCCGACCTGACTATTATCAACAAGGCCATCATCTACGTGCGTCGTAACGAACAGACCCACACGCTGCGCATTGTGCACGTGTTCACGGACGAAGAGGCCGATGCACCGGTGCTCACAGCGTTCCGTGAGATGGCTGCGTTGTTTGACAGCATGTACCCGAAGATCCGAGTGGATTTCGTGTCGGTGCAAGGTGAGTTCTGTCCGGCGATGATCGAGTGGTTGTCGCGCTCGATGAATGTGCCGCGCAACATGATGTTCATCACACAGCCAGACATTTTGTCGGCGGAGCGCGTGTCGACGGCCGGTGTGCGCGTGATCACTGCGTAGGGCGGAGCTAGCGAGGCATTTCCTTTCGCTTCAACTTCGACATTTTCATTTTCAGCTAAACATGAAAGATATTTCAAGTATATTTTTCAATGAAAACTATCGTGTGGTAATTTAGAAATATTTCTAACAGAACGCACTCTGATTTATTAGGAACGGCAATATCCACAACAATGAAGCTCGAGGCGGATGCCGCCGAGCGCTCCAAAACCCGCACCAGCTCGCAGAGATCCCCGGCCCACTTCCTGCTTAACCTCCAGAAGGTATATCTACTCTCATTTCGATCACTACCTTGTCATTATCTTGAATTATTTTGTCAATATTCTTAATATTGTTCAGCAATTCCGACGTCGTCGCCGTTATGAACTCTCGTCTTGCATCGTGGGGCTAGTGGGCATCGCCTTGATGCTCGCGGAGAACGAAATTGTTGAACGTAACGACAAAAGCTCGTCAAACTCGGAGCTTGTGGTGAAAATTCTTAAAAGTATCGTGTTGGCGTCCACGGTACTGCTTGACGTGCTGCTGGTGCTGAGATATCGTTGCGACGGCCACGTGAACCAACTGCAGAGTGCTGTCCCGTCCAGAAGAGAAAAGCTCTCACTATGGAGACCTATTTTATTGCTGTTGGAGCTCATTATCTGCAGCTTCCACATCCCTCCAGGGATTAGCGGAAAGTTTGAAATCGTTCAATTACATGGGAATCCGAGTCGAACGGATAATTCGATCTGCGAATCTCTACAACGAGGGATTGAAAGTGTGAAAAAAGGAGAGTCGTGTTATTTGGTATATCAGTACCCTGTGGAGGCACTGGGCGTGTTCATGGTGGCGAGACTGTACTTGTTGGCTCGATTTGTTCGCAGCTCGTCAGCGTTGCACTCGCCGTGGATTTCGCTTGTAGGATCGCTGAATGGAGTGAATGCAATGAAGCCATTCTTCCATTTCAAGGCCATTTTCAAGCTTCATCCACTAAATATTTTACTTCCGCTGATAGCGCTGATCACTCTGCTCACGGCTGCTATCGTACGTGTCCTGGAGCGACCTGTCCAGGCTGCTTTCGACAGCTACTGGAAATCTGTTTGGTTTACAATCACCACACTGGTACGCAACAACAGTTTTATTTTGAAGTCGTATATATTACTTACGAATTTACTTGTTTGTGTAGTCTGGGACTGGTTTGGGTGATTATTTTCCCGTGACGTATCTTGGCCGCGCATTTTCGGTCGTTGGTGGCATGTTTTGTGGCGTGCTCATTGTGGCGCTCGTCCAGTCACTTTTCTTTAATTTCCTCGATCTCTCGCCAAGTGAGAAGAAGGTGAAATATCTTATTGAATTGGAGTGGTGGCAGAAGGCAACTCGCCAAAACGCGGCTAAATTATTGCAAGCTGCATGGCGAGCAGAAATTTTACGGCAAGGCAGTAAATTAGGCGATCAGCGTCATCTTTTCTCGATGATGAGAACTGCGCGCAGTCTGCGGATGAACAAGCCAACCATCGAGTTGTCAGTTGAAGACCAAGTGGCCGAGATGGAGGCTACTATTCTGGCAGAAGTAGAGCGCATGGAGGCTCAAAAACTGGAAGTTCTACAGCGAATTCAGGCAAAGGCAACGCAGCTTGCCGCTCTGAAGCAGAAGCTTGAGCTAAACCACCATCCAAAATGACAGCAGCTAATGTCAATTTCCTGTTAAGAAATTTAAATGAATGATTGTCGAAGTTGGCGCTTTTTGACACTTCAACATTTTGTTCAAATTCAAATTTGGCGGGGGATTCGTCGACAGAAATAGACTAGGGAAAGGGGTTCTGTTATCTTTTTGACCACTCACAGCACAGCATTTCCACCGGTCCTGAGGCCAGTTTAGCCATTTCCAGTCCAAGGTCAAGAAGCACCAACAAGAACCCCGTGCACCCTACAGCTTCCTGCCGCTTTTCCTACTCCCCGCTCGCCTTCCCCGAGGCCCCCGCCATGTCGTCCGACTGGCTCTTCTCCGCCACCGAGATGCAGCGCTCCCCGTCCCGCCTCGACGGTGTGTCGCTCGTGTCGGAATTGGAGCGCCGCGCCTCTGCCTGTCGCCTTGTGGCTCGACTCGCGGCGGCGCTGCACTTGTCCCTGGCCTCTCAGCGCGCGGCCTGCGTGTTCCTGCACCGCTTCTTCATGCGGCGCTCACTGGTAGGACGCGATGAGTGCCGAGTGGCGGCCGCGTGCCTGTTGCTGGCCTCCAAGGCTGAGAACGATGAGACGCAGGGCGTCGACGTGCGGCGACTAGCGAAGGCGCTGATGACGCAGACGTCACTGGAGTCATCAGAAGCTGACGTGGCCAGCAACATTCTTGAGCTTGAGGGAGATGTGCTGCTGGCGTTGAGCTTCGAGTTGCACGTGGACCACTCTTTTTGTTATATCGCTGCTGCGGTGGACAAGGTTGTCGCCTTGAAGGAGACACAGGAGGACGCTCTGCGGCAACAGTTGAAGCAGACGGCCTGGAGCTTTCTGAACGATAGCGCCATCACGTGGACATGTCTGGCGGTGAACGCTTCGCTGGCTGCCAAGGCCGCGGTGTACGCCGCCGGATTGTTCTGTGGCGTGTCGGAAGGCGCTGGGGATCAGTGGTGGACGGTGCTGGAGACACCGGTGGACATCTTGAAAGGTGCTTGACTGGTCTATTTAGTTTTTGTTAAATCAGTGGACTCATGAGCTAGTTGGTGTGGTTTTTAGATGCCGCAAGACACGTGCTGTCCGCCTACACGGCCCCCTTTGTGGACACCAGTGTGCTGCCCAACGCACTGGGTGAATTGGTAAATGTCTTCCTCAAGAAGACGGAGAATGAGTCCAGTGAGAGCTCCACGCCGCTGGACGATGACTTCCAGGTTGAGATCGACCTGGTTGAGGAATGTCCCGTTACGGTCGAGACCTTTATGGATCAGACCACTACGTGGGTCGATGACTGCGTGGTAGTCGTGAAGGGCGAACAGAGCCCATCGAGTCCCTCTGACCCGTGTGACGTGGAGAAGAGCATCCCGCTCTACTCTCCACAAAATCTTGCCATGGAATCGTGCACACAAGGATCACTTCTTTTGAAGCGCTCAATAACGCTAGCAGACTATGACCGCAGCGTCAAGAAAGCCAAACTAGCGCTATGAGGATCGTCTGGGCAGTTCGAGTCGTTGAAAACTTGATGAATGCTTTTAAAGACGACGGAATGCTATTCTGCACCTCAAATGTCCCAAAAAATACTGAAAAAAGCAGTAAAGAACGAAGCGCGATGCATGCCGACCTGCATACGAAGCGAGTGCTTCTGTATATTTGCCAAACTACATGGAACCCATCCCAGTAAAGTAAAAAGTATAAAACTTTATAGTGCTTTTTAGCACTAGTGAGTAATTGCCACTCTTATTATTAAAGTTAGAGTAGGCACTCGAACCACTTTAGTGGCATTTTCTCCGTGTTTATAAGTGCATCGCCGTTCCGGAACGCAGCGTCTGCATGGTTGAGTTTCGTCACGTAGAATTGATCGTGGTAAGTGTTGCCGAACTTGGATTCGGGAAATCCGCCCGCACAGCTATGGAACTCGACAATGCCGTCATTCTTGGAAGACTTGTGCTTCATTGTGCGACCAAGAACCCAGTAGACTGCTTGTCTGTTCGATCGCAGTCCAGTGTTTCCATCGCTGCACATTGCGGCAGTGACGTGAGTCCGATACACTTTCTGCGCAGCCTTATACACGGCGTCCAACTTCTTGGAGCTGTATTTCTCGCCTTGATACGCTAGTGACCGAATGCCGTCGCCTCCCGGGCATAAGCCAGTGTATTCGATAAGCGATTCCATGACAATGTTGGTGTTGTCCTTGCAGGAATCCTGGAAATAATCGGAGGACATACTTCCTCTCATCGGAGACTCAATTGCTACCCAACTAGTGCTGGAATCAACATGGCATTTCTTACTTGCCAGCGCTGCTGCGACTAAAAGTCCTCCCATTGAGTGCGTTACGATAATCGTGTCCGAGATAGTAGAGTTCTGGTTGTTTTCGTTCACTGCAAGCAAGTGGTTGCATACTTTTCGCTGTTGACTGGTGTCAGTCCATGAAGTGTTCATCGTTTCGAGCCTCACGTACTTCATTGACGAGCAGCATGGCGCATGGTTCGTTAAATTTCCCCAATAAGGGTCCACATCAAGGTTGTGCTTTTCCTCTTTAAATGCCCCTAAGCCATGAACAAACACACATGGGCGAGGCGTGGATTTACATCCGCATATTGTTTCACTCAGCGTAAATTCGAAACCAAACGCAGGTTCCAGTTTTCTTGCGTCCCATGAGGTCAATGACTCGCCTGTGAGTAGAGACTTTCCAATTGACGTCACTGAGCTCGAAGAGATCGTTCTCGCACATTTTCCTTGCATTTGCGGAGCGTTAATAATTATTTTTTCCTTCTCATACTTCACCACGACGTCCACGTCACTGCCATACACCGTAAAGCCCGACGAACCCGAAAAGCACAACCCGAAGTCAACTCCATTCCACGTAACTTTGAATGAATTTCCACTCACACATTCGATAGACTTTCCGTTGCTTGTTGAAATACTTGAGACCGCGATAGCGTCATTTAGCGCTGATACGATGGAGTTTATCGGCGGTATGATATCTGAGCTCGCACATTCCACCACCGGGTTCGAAGATTTGTCGTCCAAGAGCTGATGAGAGACGTAAGAGGCGCCATCTAATAAGGTGTAATTATACGTTGCCGCGTTCTCCGTGAATGTAGCGAAGGTATCATATAGCACGCTGGATTCATCACTAGAGACGATGGGGTTAGCAAATATCGTGAACTCAGACTGTTCGTGAATCTTCATAGAACTCCGCTTGACTGTGAATTGAAAACGCAGTGCAGGCCACTCTGTCACCGTGCCATTGTGAAGATCCTGGTGCGTCGTAGACGCTTGCGTTGCCGATGAAAGTAAGGCGGTGAATACTCCTAAAAATCGTAAAATCATCCGAGCTGACGAACGAGATACTTTGGCAAGAAAATCGAACAGTGAAGCTGGCCATGACAGTCACGGTAAACGTCGAAGACCACCCAACGGAGCAATGCAGCATTCTGACAGCTTGAATTCCGGATGTTTGGGGTATACTTTCAACAAATGTGTGGAGTTCGGTTCGACGATGTATCGATCGTTTTGCTTATCTTCCGGCTTTGACTCGGCGACACTTCGTTCCGCAGTGAGCGAACTTCCAAAGTGATAGATAAACTGGTCATCCACGACGACAAGGGGTCTGAAGACTGCACCAAAGACTTTAGTAGATTAGAGAGGACATTCCACAATAATACCGCATCGATTCTCGACCTACAGTAGACACTCGAACCATTTTACAGGCATCTTTGTCGTATCTAAGAGCGAGTCGCCATGTCGGAACGCTGCATCGGCATGATTGAGGTTCGTCGCGTAGAATCTGTCACGATAGGAATTGCCAAATTTGGACTCAGGAATCCCTGCCGCGCAACTCTGGAACTCCACCATTCCATCGTTCTTGTCGGATTTGTGCGGAACGACATTGCCCAGCGTCCGATACTGCAAATGCTCAATGGAATAAATCCCGGCGTATTGGTTGCTGCACATGAGAGCATACACATTGCGGCGGTACGCCGTTTGAGCAGCCACATACGCCGCGTCCAGCTTCTTCGAGCTGTAAGTTTCGTTCTGGTAGGCTAACGATTGAATCCCGTCACCGGCAGGACAAAGGCCAGTGAGGTCCACGAAGATTTCCATGAAAAGAATTGTGTCATCCTTACAGGAATCCTGGAAGTAATCGGACGACATACTCCCAGTCATGGGAGACGCTGTGCTGATCCACGTAGAGCTAGACGCGAGACTGCATGCTCCCGTCGCAATAGCACCAGCCACCATGAGTCCACCCATGGAGTGCGAGATGATAATCGTGTCAGAAACTGTAGTTCCACGACTAGTTTCGCTCACTGCGAGCATCCGATCACACACTTTTTGCTGTTGAGTTTTATCGGTCCAGGCGTATTTTATAGTATCGAGGACTGCGTACTTCATCGATGAACAACATGGGGCGTGGTCTGTCAAATCGCCCCAGTACTTCGGTCGTTCGTCGGCGTTTTGCGGTTCCTCTTTGCGAATTCCTAAACCATGAATGAAAATACATGGTCGTGGCTTTGACTTGCACGAGCATTTCTCGTCATCCAGCGAAAAGTCAATTGCAGCCTGCAGCATCCTTTTAGAATCAAGAGAAACCGGTTCGCCCGTGAGCAAAGACCTCCCAATTGTCGATACTGATGTTGGTACTGACATCACTTTACAATCGCCTGTCGTCCCAACAATTCCTATCGGTGGTAAAATCTCCACGTGGCTTGATAAATATTCCACTGTAATGTCAATATCGCTGCCATATATCGTAAAGCCTGACGAACCCGACGCACACACTCCAAAATCAACGCCATTCACTGTGACCTTGAAGTTACTGCCACTTGAGCATTCAATAGCACTACCGTTGCTTGCAGATATACTTGACACCGATGTAGCTTCACTCAACGCCGCAACAAACGAGTTGATCGAAGGTACGGCAACGGAATTGACACACTGAACCAATGGAGTGCCAGTCTCAGGAGAACTCCGCGATACGTATGCCACGCCATCGATGGTGATGTAGTTGTAACTCGTTGAGCCCTGTGCGAACGAAGTAAATGTATCGTAGAGAACGTTGGTAGTCCCATTGCTGTCGGAGAGAACGGGTCTTGCGAACACAGAGAAGCTGGATTGGCCGTGGAGTTTCATGGAGCTGCGCTTGATCGTGAAGTAGAAGCGAAGCGACGGCCATTCTGTATTAGCTGTCTGGGCTTGGAGCCCACCGAGCTGCTGATGATCAAGCGCTAGTGAAGGCTCCACTTGTACCGAGAGTGAATAGAGTGTAGTGAGCGTCAATATTGAACTCAGAAACGCTATTACCATTTTTCTGAAGCTTGGCAATAGCTGATCAAAATTACAACTGAGTAGCACCTGTGCATACAGCTCACGATGCATAAGACAGGTCTCGTCAGAGCCAGAGCCTATCCTTCAAGCATCGAGGGGACAACATTGTGGAACGGTTGTTTGCGTGAAAGCTGCTTGCATTGCACCGAAGAAATTATCATAATCCAGTAGAAAAGTAAAAGTAGAGAATTAAGCTTTTCGCGTGATGTCTAGCCGGTTAAACGATTTTGAATGCCAGTAGTTTGTCTACAGAGAGATAGAGCTCTGGTGGCAGTACAAAGTAGTTTTTCTCGACTGAAATTACTAAACATGGTAATTGCTCCATCCACCACTTTCTTCGGCTTTGTTGCGAGGCACTGTTGTGCTCCAAATGGGAGCCTCCCATCGACGTGTACCTTTTATTAAGGTGAAGACAATGAGGTCGTGTGGTAACCTAGCAGGATTTCGCCGTCTCAGTTGGCGAACAGCAGCGTTTCAGATGGGCCATTTGAAACGCTGTTCGAGCTTATCTTACGGTAACGCAAGTAAACCAGATAAATGCACCACCAGCACTTGTTCAACAGAGCAAGTGCTGCGAGCAAAGAGGTCCATTCACAGTCACCGAACACAAGCATCCCTCGTCGGTGACGATAAACGTGCTACTACAGCTTCATTGTTCGGCTGAATTCCTCGAACGGGTTGGGTGTATAGGTATTCCAGCGGTTGTTGATAGCTTGGAATGCAACAATGCAAGGATGTAGCTCTGTACCCTTATTGTAGGCAAAATTCTTCATTTGGAGTTCATATTAGCTATACTGGTACAGTTACTATCTAAGAGTAAGTTCTGCTGCTCTAAACTTGCAAGTCTAGTTCCCTTTCCTCTAACTAGTCTGTGAATTGCGCTTCAAAGTTCTCTAATAGCACGTTTCAGCTCTAATCTATTACGCCTTTACATGCTATCCTACAGCAGGCACTCAAACCACTTCACTGGCATCTTTGTTTTGTCCAAAAGGGCGTCACCCCCCTTGAAAGCTACATCATAGTGGTTGAGCTTTGACGCGTAGAAACGATCACGATAATCATTTCCAAACTTGGATGCTGGAAACCCACCGGCGCAGCTGTGGAATTCTACCATCCCGTCGTTTTTGCGTGACTTGTGCGAGACCACGCTCCCCAGTACCCAGAAACCAACCTGATACGACGAAAGGATTCCGGAATAACTGTTACTGCACATCAGAGCGTACACATTCTCTCGATATGCCTTCTGTGCAGCCTCGTAGGCCACGTCCAATACAGGATTACTGTAGCCTTCGTGTATATATGCCAGAGACTTGATCCCGTCGTCTGCAGGACAAAAGCCAGTGGTTTCCACGAATCTCTCCATGAACACATTGGTCTGGTCCTTGCAGGATTCCTGGAAATAGTCCGACGCCATGCTCCCAGTAATAGGCGATCCTGTGCTGACCCACGTCGTGCTTTTATCAAGACTGCACAGTCCGTTTGCGATCGCTCCAGCGACCATGAGTCCACCCATGGAGTGCGAAACGATAATTGTGTCGGACACTTTTGTTCCCTTGCTTGTCTCACTCACTGCAAGGATGTGATCGCACACTTTTTGTTGCTGAATATGGTCCGTCCAGGAGTTATTTACCGTGTTAAGCACGGTGTATTTCGTCGTCGAACAGCACGGTGTGTGGCCGGTCATATTACCCCAATAATCGTACGTATCGAGATTCTCCTCCTCCTCAACTAGAACACCCAAACCATGGATGAAAACGCACGGACGCGGCTCCGACTTGCATGAACAGGTATCGTCCATCGAGAATAAGTCAAAAGCTGCCTTCAAATTTCTCGTATCGGCGGAAATCTGTTCCCCGGTCAGGAAGGACTTCCCGAGAGAAGTCACTGTAGTGGGCGACGCCACCTTTTCGCAGTGGATTTCAGCGCTTTTATCAACATTTGGTGCCAAGATGGGCGTGTGATTCTCCACGTACTCCACTTTGATATCCATATCGCTACCATACATCGTGAAACCTGAAGAACCTGAGAAGCAGAGGCCAAATTCGATGCCATGCACCGATGTCTTGAAGGAATTTCCACTTAAACACGAGATAGCCTTGCCTTTACTTGTCAGAATGGTTGAAACAGCCTCCGCGTCACTCAACGCAGCTACGATTGCGTTGACAGGCGGGAGGATATTCGTGTCCATACATTGCACCTGTGGGTTCTCGCTGTCGTCCATGAAACTGTGAGAGACGTAGGCCACTCCATCCACAAGAGAGTAGTTGTAGAGCATTCCATCTTCTTCGAACGACGTGAACGAGTTGTAGAACACGCTGCTATTGTCGCTTGATACGATGGGATTGGCGAGAACCGAAAACTCGGATTGACCGTGGACTTCCGTTGCAGCGCGTTTGATCAAGAACTGGAAGTTCAGGGACGGCCAATTGGCAGTTGTGTCGTCTTGAACGACGCTGTTCTGCGCGGCTGCGAAGGCCAAGCAGGCAGTGAATACAACGGCGACTATGGCACTTCGATGAAGTGTTGACATATTGGAGTCTTCAGTGTTTGGTTCAGAGAGCAAAACGATCACTGAACGATCACGTTCACCGTTGCAACTTGCAATGCAAGTGAAGGGTGTCAAGCCCAACGCTGTCAAGTTTGACGCTGTAGCCCGTCCAATCGAGCAAAGCGATGATGTCGAGTTGAAGGCATACGAATTCTAAATGTCTTGGTATTCGGTTCGCTGGTAGTCATGTGTTTTATCTTTGGGCTTTGCAAGGACATCACGTCTTCATCGCCAACCCGAAGTGCATACACAAAAACAACAAGTCACTCCACTTGATCCTGACTGAGAAGCTTTTCGGTGAATCATGACATGAATCACAGGTTGCTCCGAAGGTCGATCGAATGGTGACTCGGATCACTAATTTCTCTGGAGTTTAGTCGAATCACCCAATGATGGCATGGATGATCAATTGTGTCAATGTGGGGTGTACAGTATTGAATCTCAAATTCAACTGCAAGAGCACCTGTGGCATCTGATCCTAAAGCAAAATACAAACTGTAACTTGCAGGATATCCTGCAATGGTGGTATAAGTGGATAATGTAAGTTTTTTTCTTCGTTTCTACTTTTTGTAAGCCTTTAGTTTCTCTACAGAAGACATTCGAACCATTTCATTGGCATCTTCGCTTCATCCAAAAGTGCATCGCCGCTCTGAAATGCCACGTCGAAATGGTTGAGTTTCGTCACGTAGAATTGGTCTCGATAATTGTTCCCAAACTTGGATTCCGGAAAGCCTCCAGCGCAACTGTGGAACTCCACCATGCCATCGTTTTGAGGAGATTTGTGAGGAACCACCTTGCCTAGCAGCCAGAATTGCCACTGGTAGTTAGAGATCAATCCACTGTGCTTGTAGCTGCACATTGCTGCTTTTACATGAGTCCGATAAACCTCCTGTGCCTCCTTGTACGCTCTGTTTAACTTTACCGATGCATAGTCACCGTCCTCGTACGCGAGAGAACGGATCGCAGTGCTGACGGGACATCGTCCAGTGATATTTGCCACCTTCTCCATAACCCGATTGGTTTCGCCTTCGCAAGAACCTTGAAGATAATCCGAGCCCATACTTCCTCTCATTGGAGCACCAGTACTGATCCATGTAGTGCTTGGGGTAAGACTACACTTTCCCGACGCGATTGCGCCGCCGAGCATCAGAGCTCCCATTGAGTGCGTAATAATGATGGTGTCGGAAATTCTCGATTTGATACTCGTGTCACTAACTGCGAGAGCTCGATCGCACACCTTCTGCTGTTGAATATCGTCAGTCCACGAGTTGTTCACTGTGTTGAGCACAGCGAATTTTATCGTCGTGCAGCACGGCGCGTGATCCGTCATATTCCCCCAGTATCTCGTCGGGAACGAGTCCTGGTTTTCTGCCATCTCCTGTTTAATACCTTGGCCGTGAATGAAAATACACGGACGAGGTGTCGACTTGCATGAGCATGGAGAGGTATCCAACGAAAAACCGAACTCTGCCTTCAACATTCTCGCACTTTCAATAGGAATCGGCTGACCTGTCAGTAGTGACTTTCCCAATGAAGTCACAGAGTATGACGTTGCCAATGCATCACATTTGACAGAATTCTCGTCAAGAACTGGAGTATGAATCTCGTCACTGCTACTCAAGTATTCCACGTTAATGTCCATATCGGCGCCGTACATCGTAAACCCGGAATAGCCCTCGTAGCACAGTCCAAAAGGGACACCATTGACTGAAACCTCGAATTGATCCTTACTGGAACATTCGACAAAACTGCCAAAACTCGTCGATATACTGGATACAGGTGAAGCTTCAGTCAGTCCAGCAATGATGGAGTTTATTGACGGTAAGATGCCTGATTCATAGCATTGTACGGAAGTGGCGTTGCTATCGTCAATATAACTTCGCGTAAGGTAGGAGACGCCATTAACCATAGTATAGTTGAAGATTGTCGAGTCTTCCGTGAAGGTTGCAACAGTATCATAGAGCACGCTGGTGGTGTCGTCGTGAAGGACAACAGGGTTCGCGAGAACGGTAAATTCTGCCTTACCGTGGACCTTCATGGAGCTACGCTTGACTGTGAAGTGAAAACGAAGAGAGGGCCAATACGTCGTCCCATTCTCGAGAACCTGGAGTGGAGCAGCAGTCGCTTGAACTAACGCCACCAAAGCCGTCACCAGCCACAACAGCAATGTCGACATCTCGTCGAGTTCACGAGCGTTTGGTGTTCGTGATTCCGGTGGAAAATTGGACAGTGATTGAGTTGGCCTGCCTCAAACGCATTGTTGGGAACGACACACCATCCCGAAGGCAGAGCATACGAAGTTCAAGATCACGCTGTTCGATTCGGTTTGTTACTACGCGTGTCAAAAGTGACAGTGTGACGCTGGTATTACCAGTGGTAAGTCCGACGGTTGGGAAAGAGGAATATCATGAGTCACTCACATAGCATGACGCAACATTTTACTCATAACAGCAAGCACAAGTCGAAGAATCGACTTTTCATAGGGCTATTAGGTCTAGTTATCTTCTAAAGCAGACACTCGAACCACTTGAGAGGCATCTTTGCCTTACTTAAAAGAGCGTCACCGTTCCGGAACGCTGTATCTGCGTGATTTAGTTTAGTCACGTAGAATTTGTCTTCGTAGGAATTCCCGAAATCCGACGCAGGGAATCCTCCAGCGCAACTGTAGAATTCTACCAAGCCATCGTTCTTGAAAGAGTGGTGGGAAACGACGGTACCTAGTGTCCAATACCACCATTGGCGATCAGATCGCAGCCCGGAGAACCCGTTACTGCACATCAAGGCATGTACATTGCTTCGATACGCCTTCTGTGCTTTCACGTATGCTGCGTCCAGTTCCGGAGTGCTGTAGCTATCGCCTTCATACGCGAGAGAAATAATCCCGTCATCTGCAGGACAGTAGCCGGTCTTTGCTACCAGATCTTCGACAATAAAGTTGGTTTCGTTCTTACAGGAATCTTGGAAATAGTTGGAGGCCATACTTCCACGCAATGGGCCTGATAAACCCACCCATGTTGAGGACGAAGCAATGCTGCACTTACCCGTAGCTATGGCTCCAGCCAGCATGAGATTGCCCATTGAGTGCGTGATAATAATGGTGTCTTTAATCGCGCTGTCTTGGTTGGCCTCGTTCACCGAAAGCACCCGATCACAGACTTTTTGCTGCTGCTCGTCGTCCGTCCACGAGTTATTTACCGTGTTCAGCATTGCATATTTCATTGATGAACAACATGGTGCATGGTCTGTCAAGTTCCCCCAGTATTTTGTGGGGAATGCATCCAAATTTTCGGGTTCTTCGATCTTGATTCCCAATCCGTGAATAAAAATGCACGGGCGTGGCGTCGACTTGCACGAGCACTTGTCGTCCCCAAGCGAGAAGTCGATATTAAACAACATAGCTTTCAATTGCCTTGTGTCATGGGGGATTGGCTCTCCAGTTAGCAGAGATTTCCCAATTGAAGTCACTGCAACTGGCGCTGCCACTTTCTCGCATTGATCTTTCACAAGTTTTGGCTTGATGATCCTTTCGTGGTTTTTCAGATATCCCGCTGTGATTTCCATATCGTTACCATACATTGTGAATCCTGAAGACCCCGAATAACACAAACCCAGATCGATTCCATTGACAGAAACCTTGAACGTATTTCCACTGGGACAGTCAATAACACCACTACTTGACGATATGCTGGAAACAGGAGTGGCATTGCTAAGTGCACTTACGATAGAGTTTATGGAAGGCACCACATCCGAGTCATCACATTCCACCACGGCGTTTGTATCGCTGTCCAGAGAGCGGTGAGAAATGTACGCACTGCCGTCTTCTACCGTGTAATTGTACTGTGTCAAGTCCTCCGTGAACGTAGCGAATGTGTCATACAGAATGCTGTCGATGGCATCGTCATTGGCAGACGTAACCGGGCTTGCAAGTACGGAGAAGTCGGAGTGTCCGTGGATTGTCATGGAGCTGCGCTTGATCGAAAAGTGGAAGCTCAACGAGGGCCAGCTCGCTGTCGTCCCATCTACAAGACTCCATGCGTCGCTCTGGGTAGCGGATGCAAGCATTAAAGCCAACACGGTCGCTAACATGGCGTGACTGGATGGCAAAGCGGCTTGCGCTCACGGGCTGAAGAGGAGAAATGAGAGGTATTATAGATTTGAGACGGCATGCCAAATCACTTGGCATACCGACTGGTACCATGGTCCATGGACTAGTAGTCCAGGACTACAGTCAGATCTCATGATTGCCGACTTTCTATCACATGCGAGCGCAAGAAATATGCAAGCAGAGCTGTTGTCGTCAACCGAACTGTTGTCCCAGACTTGGACCTCATCGTTGCTTACGGCACCATCTTCCTGCATATGCAACTTGCACTGTACAAGTTGCTGTCCTTATATGACGTTGTGGAGAGGATAACTCGTCCAGGACCTCGACTCAAGATTATTGTCTCCGATAATTTCCTGATGATGAATCGGCAAAAACTAAAATGTTTATTTTTAAACTTAGGAACTATCGAAATATTCTTAACCTCCGAAGGCAACTAGTCCGTGATAACGCGCACGCCCAACGCCGACACACGGTGGATGTTCTCGTTCGCTGGTTGGCGCATGAACATCATGTTGGTCGGGACGTCCATGGACTTGGACAACCACTGCACCATCGCTGGGTCGAAAGCTCCTTTCACGGCGATAAAGTCGATCTTAATTGACGGGTAAATGTGGTCGAACAGGTTCACGACGTCCTCGAATTCGCGTGGTACGGGGGCGTCTGGCTCGCACACGTGGACTAACCGGAGGCAATACGTGTGCTCGTTCTGCATCACGTACCGTACAGCCTCGTTGATCTTTGGCAAGTTGGCAACCTTGCAGAAGAACACCACTGGCGTATTCTTGACCATCTCGATTGTCTTAGCAACCTTCACACTGCCCACGAATGCTTGACCACCCGCTGATAACTGCTGTACAGGCGTAAATTCTCCTTGTTTGCTTCCGAAGTGAAGCAATATTTTGCGTGAAATATAGAGAAATCCTTTAAGTAGACTGACGCGAGTCAGCATCAAGAAAACCACCACGAAGAAGACCGCAAAGTAGATGAAGAAATACGACAACGCCTTGACATCCGAGAAGGCGTTTGCGAGGATACCAAGCGAAACCATTCCCATACAGAAGCACGTGTTGGTCCACGACGTCGTTCTCTTGCGTGGGATCTCTTCTCGACAGATTTTCAATAGTAAACACGCGATAGTGAACGATAGCAGTACACAGAGGAATGCAAGTGCAAAGACACCCGAGAGTACCGTCACTTCGGCGTTCAAAATGAACACGAGACTGGAGCACACGACGCAAAAGACCAGGATAATGTAGTGGTTTGTGCCACGACATGAGTTAACCTTCAATAAGAAGCTCGGTAGGACACGGTCAATCGCCAGACGCTGGAATAACCCGTTAATTCCTACATATGCTGTCAAAACAGCACCCGCAAGCACACCAAATGCGTCAATTGCCACGAGAACTTCCAGCCAGCGACCACCACTAAGTCGTCCCATCAATGAGAGCAACGTCGACTGGTTCGAGATAATTGTATCCAACGGAACAACAGCCAGAGCTAATAACGAGTACGCCACGTTAAACGTACTGGAAAGAGCCCACATATTGCGCAGAGTCTTGGGGAACATACCAGCAGCTTGTTCTTCCACGTACTGCGACGAACTCTCGAAGCCTGTGACTCCAAGCATCGCTGTACCGTAGCCAAGAAACAAAGCAGAGGCGACATTACTGGCCTCTGCAGCTCCACCAAACATCGTGACATGAGGAAGAGAAGTACCCATGTTGTCCACAAAGATGGAAGGGTGTTGCACCACGTAGATCAAGCTGAAAATTCCCAGTAGACTGAGTGTGAAAGTGTGGAAAACGAAAAAGATCAATGCCACAAACGCACTCTCGGCGATACCCATAAGACACAGTAATGCGAACACTACGAGCAAGCCAATAGTGCAGGCCATTACGGGGATCTCCACTAACGACTCATTGACGTAATTCATCGCCGACACTCCATTCACCACAGCAGTGGACAAGTACGAGAGCATACTGAACACTGCACAGATCGCAGCAACCTTCTTGGGGGCAGAATTGAGCATAGCGGTATAGAAGCCTCCGTTCAACGGTACTGCACTCATGACCTCCTCGAAGACCCAACGTAAACAGTAAACCACTGTAACCACGAATAATTGGGTCACTGGGGCCAATTTTCCAGCTTTCGCGATCGTTTGACCTGCGGAGAATAAAACACTGGAGAGAATGGCATTGCCACTAATAGACGTGGCTGTCCACTCTCCGAGTTTGTTTTTCTTCTCGTCGGCTTCCAGTTCCAAGCGAATAGCGTCGATCTCGTCCTTGTGGCCCTGTACGAACTGCGCCTCCCCACCAATATTAGGGTGCATCCAGGAAGGTTCTTTGAAGCGGCGATCTGTAACTTGGATCTGGATAAAGCGCTGGCGTAATTGACTGGGCGTGTCGGCGCGAATGAAGTTCATCTCGCTCACCCAGCCCAAGTCCGAGGGCTGGTGCACTGACAGCGACGTCATGCCCGAAGCGAGTGCATAGTCTCCAGACGGGGTCTCGGGAGACAGTAGGTCTAGTCGAAGATCTCGGTTGGAGCGGTCCCATTTGGCCATGATTTCTGCAGAATTGTCACGTCGAGACGAGGAGAATCGCAAAATGAGACGAATGCGCGCGAACCGACTCAAAATTCCAACTGCTGCTGTTTCTGGTGAGTAAAGTTGGGATAGACGTGGACGGTTGGAAGCTATTTGAGGAGGGGGGGGGGGAGTGCAGAGAGCGGCCAATAAGCATTCAAATAAGTAGCCATTTCGCTGTGAACGATGGATCAGGACGAGGGGGAAGTTTATCTGAGCTGGTGGTTTCTATTTGAAAAGTAGGGAGGATACAACTATCGTTCAAAGAGCTCACGTAAAGGTGCTTCTCGATTGTATGCTGGAGTTGGTGGGTGATTCATTTAAAAGGGAAAAATGCACCCATCTCGATTGACCACCGCAGTGCGCACATTACCAGGAGTCCGGAGAAATCGAATGCTCTCGACACGATACCTCAAGCACCTTATGCCTACAGAGCGACTATGATGAAGGTTTAGCGTCCTCTACCTCAACCTTCCCAAGGGCAAACGGATTCTTGACATCTTGTCGGTCTACTAACAACGGTAAAGTGATGAAATCCACGTAAAGTTTGAGTTCTGAATTAATTATAGACGACGCACATATCCAGCGCTACCACTTGGTGAATCTTCTTGCTTGACCGTTAACCCATGAGCATCATGTTAGTCGGGCTTGCCATCACCTTAATCCCTTCAGAAAGTCCAAGCGGATCTGCATCTAGTGAGAAATCCTGCGGATTGCAGCAGCCCAAGAAGCAGCTTTCAGTTGTTGGCGTTCTCCATGTTGTTTTACTTGGTCCTGCTAAATCTCAATTGGCGGTAGGCAACAGTTGAATATTTGGGCGACATTTCGGAAGTATACACTTTCGTTCATTAGAAAACTAGCGGTGGGGCATCTTCGTCCTCCTCGAGTTCTACTTCGGGGCCAATGCTGTGGCTCGCAGTCGTTTTCGTCACTAGTGGAGTCATTTGCGGGCGTTTGTGAAGAGCATTATTGTCTTCTTTGTTCTCTTTCTTCACTAGCCCGCGAATGTTGACTGCGCGACGTTGATCCGGTGAAACCTTGCTTGCAGCTTCAAGAAGCTAATAACATTCATAGTACAAAGTGTAAGTTCGTGTACAATTGGCGAGATACACATGATACAGTTTCTGTACCTCGTCAGAAATCTTGGATCGCCTCGAGGTGCTTTTCATGGTTGAAGTCGGTTTTTTCTTGTCTTTCATCGTTTTCTCCTGTTCTTCACGGTTTAACTTTGCGCGTAGTTGTTGTGTGGGGGTAACATGTGCTTTCGGTAGTGTCAAGCGCAGGGTTCCGGTGGTCTTTGATCGTTCCGCTTTGCCCGCATCTGAATGTACGAGCTCCGGGAATTTGAGCCGGAGAACCTTATTCTTTGCCACTATGGAGACGTACGAAGGATGAACGTCCACGTCTATCAATGACGTGTCCATGAACCGAGGTAGATCCACCTCCAGAATAATATCGAGGATCTCGTCCATGAGTCGGAACTCCCACTTGCCTTCGTTGCATTGCCGAATGGACCCATCTGCCCGTTCTTCCAGCTCTCGAGCCTTGCGCAGCGTTTCCTCGTGTTCAGCTTCTGCGTTCCTCTCCCTCGGCTGGTTTTCGCGTCTGCGAGCTTCTTCCTCTTCCTTCTGCTCCGCCATCTCGAGATACATTTCACGACGGGTGTGTGGTGTATATGGGACCTTCTCCGTCGACGACATGACCGACTTCTTCTCCGAAATATCGGTCGCTTTGCCGCCCACCACTTCAATCACAGCTTCATCTTCTGCTTGTTGTTGCGCCTTCTTATCACGCACCGCAATGGCTTCTTGACGAACATACTGCTGTCTCTCTTGAAAGACTTGTAAGGCTTTAATTCGATCGCTACGATGAATCTCTTTACCGTCCAGAATCTCAAGTTGAGGCAGTGAGGCGATCACGTACTCGCGGAATCCAGTCTCCCAGTTGGATTGGCATGGGTTACCGAGCATGTAGAGCTCTCGAAGGTGCTGCAGAGGTTTGAGGTGGTCGATACTCTTCTCCAAGGTGTCGAAGTCCACAAAGTTGACGGTGAGGTCCAGTTTGTTGAGGAACTCGCAGCTGTGTAGACCTTCGATCTCACTGATGTTGTTTAGAGCCAAATTAAGATATCGCAGCTCTTTCATGTGCGTTAAGTCCTCGATCATCTCAATTATGTTGTTCTGCAGGTACAGGATACGCAACTTGCGACACAAAGTGCCGATCACTTCGATCTTCTCCAGTTCTTCTTGGTGTAGTGAGATCTCCTCAAGTGTGGAAATCATACCTTCATTGTGTTCCGCCCGCTTCCGCAGCAGCTCTACGGTGATGCGAGGCATGACTGCAAAACTGGAAATGACTGTAGAAAGTATCTTGCTGCGTCGTTTCGAGAAATTGATGTTGTGTACATAAGTAGTAGTCCAGACGTGGGTTTTGGGTTTTTGGAAAAGTAATTCTGGGGGGTTGTCCACCCACCCAAAGCAAGAAGTAGAGGATTTTCCTGAGCATATTAAGGCCCTTAAATTGAAGGAGAGAACGGACAACTTGCGAACTATCGCGTACATTCAAAAATAATAGAGATTAGGCATCACTTGTCGTTTTCTTGCTACCAGATGAATTTGTAGGGCAAACTTTCAAAGCGGTGCTAGGAATATTGAAGCACTTTACTTAGAGACCTTAACCTCAACAAAATTTGTCCTTAAAAAGAGGATGAAAAAGATGCAAAAGCGTTAATTTCCGCGTGATTTTGTCCTTGAGACCCCGATTAACAAAAATCGAGTGCGACAAGCATGATTGCCTCGGTCTGATATGGCAGTTGAGTCAGGTGACGCCACTTTGTATGGGATTAAAATTTCACTTGATTGTAACATTGAATTCGAGGACTTTTGTCCTAAAGTTAAGGACAAATCGCCCTCTGGGTACGCATTCCAGACACCTTGAGGACTAGTAGTTTCTGCAACAACGCGTAGGTTTAACAGAATTGCTAACACGGTTGTAGAGAGCTAACAAAGGGCTACATTTCAATATACATCCACATGAGCATCTACCAAAACTGAGACCAGGCAAGATCCTCAAGTTTTTGTCCTTAATTTTTCTTGTTTGGGTTAAGAGTTTCCTTACACTGCAAAGACTGCAGAGGACGACAGAAAATGCTTTCATGTTTTGAAGTACATGTACTTTATGGGCCAATCAGGAGAAGTCGATCACTAGCAGTCTGGGATCTATTGGCACTGCGCCGACAGAAGGCTCGGTAACGGTGTTAATATTGACGGTAGTATACCCATGGACTATAGGCTGCCATTAGCGACGTCTCCATGGATGAAGATGAAGCCTCTTCTTTGGCTGCAGGCCCTGGGTCGGTTAAACGTGCGCCCGATCCACTCACTAAATCGCGGCGTGCGCGTGAAGATGTTTCTGACGCTTCAAGCTCGAAGCGTCCGCGTTATAAAAAATAGGCGGAGCCGCTAACACCGTTGACACCTTTCCTCCACGTAATGCACCTGCAGTACGCGCCCCAAGGACGCAAACTTCATCCAAGATCGCTGACAGGTTTGGCGCAACTACGCCGCCGAACCAGATACCTTGTTCGTGTAAAGAGCTATCGTTGATGACACTGGAGCTGCAAACCAGCACTTTAATTCGTCGACAAATAAAATCGAGGGCGTGACTACTACATCTAACTTTCAGACGAGCTCCGGTGGTATGTGTTGAAGAGCACTTCACGCAAGAGCAAAATGCCTGAGGAGGTGGCACTTTGTCAAACCTGGAGCGCCTTAATTGAGAACTTCAACAAAGCCGCAAAAGCTTATCGCACCCGCATCGTTGCGGTGCGCCAGTGCTTCGAGAGCTTCTACACCTTTGCTCGAGCAAAGTGAGACATCAAACAAACCAAAAAGAGATATAACCCGTTTATAACCGCAAACATTATTTTGGGCTAGATTTTATTATGGTAGTTTGGGCTGTTCCACAACAAGTGGGATTACCTACGAAGCAAATGCTACTTGCGCATGCTCAATGAGCTTCGAACCAGAGCCTATGTCCCATACTGCATGTCCTCCATCTTCAGTGCATCCGCCACAGCACGTTGACAGTGCAGCGCCATTGAAACAACGAGATGACGGTGCATGCAGCCGATCGACGCATATTCGGCGTCCTCCAGCAACGCCATTCTTGCCTCACTCAGTCATGGTGAGAAAAATGCCTTGGTTGAACATGCGCTGACGGTTGTCCGATAGATACGTATTCACCTTCGACTTGAACACGCTAAAGCTGCCTAAGCTTGCACATTTAAAAAGAATAGGTCAGAAAAAAATTAACTAGCCGCATTATCTACATGTAAATATTTTTTTATCTTCCATTAGATTCAGCAAGTAAATGGCTTCTTTCGAATCTATAAAAATAAAATGAATGTCATAATGTTAAATACTAAACGGTAAAAACACTTCTTACCAGCCTAAATACCTGCATTAACGTTATCAACTTCGCGGTCATCTTGGCACTCATGGTAGACGTCGAGATCTTGACACCGAAACGCTCGAAAACTTTGTGTGCCAGCTGTAACGGGGTTACACGCAAGTGGCTACATGTAGCCACTTGATTACAACAATGGGTTTCACATTGGTGTGAGATACACCAATGGTTACATTTGACAGACCACTGGTCTGTGTGCATTTAGACTTCCTATTGGTTGAAAGGCGATCTCTTTCAACCAATTAGCTTAGCAGGATTCTGCCAACCACTCGTTGGCAAATACCTTTCATTTAGAATATCACTTTAGGAGGAAACCCAAACAAATAACAGTTCTCAATTTTACGGTAAATCGGCTTTTGCTTTCTTATTTAAGTAAATCTATGCTTACGAGACGTTAGTATAGTTAATCTAAGTTTAAGCAAGCTACGCTTCCTCATACACGTGCGCTAACGTGTAAGCCGCAGTAGTGGGCACACAGCGAGCCCATTACACCAGCTGCGATAGCGTCAGTGTACAGTCTTCCTCCAGGTACGCTTCCATGGTAGATATTATTTGCTCGGTACACTTGACAACACTTGCAGGTGTGCCGCCACGTGCGGGCGGGCTGGGATCCCCAGTTTTGTACAGCCTGTAGGCAGCAGCCCTCGACATGTTATTGTACTTGGCAACTGTAAGCCAGTCATCACCGGATTCGTACGCGGTAAGCACACGTTGGCGCTCCTCTGCAGTAGCGAGGCTGCGTGGCGATGGTGTCGACGGGCGAGCGGCATCTTCGTTGGAGGTGAGAGAAAAAGTAATGAGAGCTAGTCGCAGCTACTTGTGAAAATTACTGGCACAAATTGACTAGTCTCTCTTGCTCCTGAACAAATATCATCTGTATGTCCTACATTAAAATGTTTTGGTTTTGCCTAATTTAGGCCCAATTTCATGTTGTGTGCTTGAAGTCTCACTTTATTCGGGCAAAGGTGTAGAAGCGTCACATGGTCGATACCCATAATAAGGCTATAAAGAAGGGAATTTCGTGCGCATAAGTTCTAGAAGCTAATGGATGTGCTCTCTGTGCACCTCGACGTCTGATTTCTCGTTCACAGCACGACTGTGAACGAACTCGTCGTCATAGTAGCTCGGTGCGAAGTCACGCACCGAGCGCAATAGATGCGTGAAGCATCTATCTCCCAAGCTTGCCGCTTGGGTACTCATAGTGAGAGGGATATCTCTCTCGCTCATGAAGGTCTGATAGAACACGTCGCGCAGATCAAGAGCACTGTAGATGATGCCTGTGGTCATCGAATCGACGACATCTTTTGTGGTATCCGCGTCTGCGCCGGTATCGTCGCACTGTGGCTTCGTGACACAGAACGTTGGTACACAATTGATTGCCGCACTTGCTCTGTCTTACGACGACTTTCAAAGAAGTCGGCGATTGCCTTTAGTTGATCCCGCGGTAGCCCCTGCCGCATCACACAGTACTTCGTACCCGGCACGAGGCCAATTTCGTGCTGTATGCCCTTATCTTATGGAAGTTCCGCAGAAATCTCATCCGGGAGCACATCCTTGTGCTCCAGCAGAACATCGTAGAAGGGACTCGACTTCAGTGAGTCCCAGCTCTTCTCCTCAAAAGCGCTGCTTCTTACCGTCGCCCTGAGAGTGTCTTCGCTCTCTGTGGTACTCGCAGCGTTCTCTCAACTCCTCCGCTTCGCTCTCCATCCTTTCAATATCTGAAAGGATGCATATCTGTTCAAAGCATTCATCGAACAGGCTCTACGCGAAGCGGGTTCAGCCCATAACTGGAAGCGGCATCGACTCCGACTCTTGCGTCGGAGAATTCTCCAATTTTATTGACCAGTACTTGAGGCCAGATATCATGATGCTGTGATGGGCGGATAGCTACACTTGTTTCCGTCGGCTATGATGATAGGGCGAAAGTCCAAGAAGAATTCTGGAGAAAAAAAACTGTTGGAGGCCCCACTTTATGTGGATATGCAAACAAATTTGTCGATCTATATAACCAGCAGGTTACACTTTGTACAATTTCAATCCGCACTTGCGAACAACTGCGGTGAAACACCTTATAAAGAACGTTCAAGCCATGACAACACATACAAAAGACAGAATTACGAAAATTGAGGCATCTGCTCGCTGCTAAATGGCTACTCTTCTACTCGATAATTTCAGAAAATTTGCGACGCATTCCTAACGCTAAATGATCTGCGAGGATGTACAGCGTTTCTACCTTCCCACGTTGGATTATTATGTGGCGAGAATGCTCGTGATTTAAAGTTTGCAAATATGTTCACTCAGAAGTTGGATGGCGAGGGCTATCAGCCATGCAGCGCCCTTGTTCTTTTACTCCTCTAAGGCAAAACTAATACGTTTGGCAAGATACAGCATGTTGGATATATGCGAAACAAGGGTGTGCACATTTGTCCGGTTGGAGTTACTGCATTATACCTTTTTCAGCTATTTCGACCACACCATGAGTCATTTTCGTCGTTTAAGAAATCAACGGACTGGTGTGACATTAAGCTGCTACAGCGACGTCCACGAACAAATCTATCACGTATGAGAATCACAAGAAGAGCTACGAAGGTGTGTTCGACCGTCTTGGTCTTTCATTAAATAATAAAAAAAAAGCATATCAATCGACAGTAGGACGTAAGGCAGCAAGAGTTTGTGGCCGTTGACTTTCTCAGACTAGACGACACGGTGGATGAGGCATGGATACGTACACACAGCTAAAGAAGCGGTGCATGCGCTTTCAGGTCATCCACCAAAGGCTCGATTTTACTTCCTAGATCGTGCATCCGACGATCCTCCTTCAGAGCTCCAGCGCCTTGTGTTTCCTGGAGTCGAGTATTATAAAAAAAAAAGTGTAGGTGGAGATTGGGAGGATAATTTTGGCAGCACGTGGCTTCCTCGACCCTTCGCTCTGTTTTTCTTCAAGACTGCGCCGCTTTGTTTGACGATCTTCCTGGTAAGATCTGTCAGCATTCACTTTTAGGCAAAGCATTTCAGGAATTTCATAAGCGAGCCCTAGTAGCCGTTAGCAGCGCTAAAGCCCCTATTGAAATGCGTCTTCAAACCGCAATGCCATTGCTTTCAACACAAATATCTACACAGAATGAGTTGCCTGACAAGGATTCACGTCAGGCGCCTACTTCAACTGAAGATCCCAAGGTTGCTGAAGTTTCAAACGAAGATGCGATTGGTAAAAATGCTCTACGAGACGTCTCTGATGTGACTTCAGATAAAGATAAGTCAGAGTTCGAAGTGTGCACTGTTGAAGATCCGGATTCCGACGGTGACGAATTTCTCGATTCGATTACAGTGTATGTGTAGGGAAATGCCTGAGACCAGGAACGTTGAAGAAGATATTTCGGACGCACCAGCTCACATGATACCAAGTGCTCCAGTTCGTCCACTCCAATTGAAATATGAACAGTGTGTGAGTGTAAGTGTCGAAGAACTCGACTTGGAACGGTGTACATTCACGAAGGAAGCGAGTTGATGTCGCACAGCTGGCAATGCTACCCGACCTTCGTGATTCAAACGCGACTGGTGGCATTCGAGATGGTTGACGTCGGTGTACTAGGAGTCTCAACTCCAGACGGGTAAATATAATAAATGAATATCCTGAAATATCTATTCTTTTTGGAGATGCAAAAACTGGTATCAAGGCGTCATCTATGCCATAGACGCCAGCGACACAAAAACCACTGCTCCGCGTCCCCGACCTATCACA